TCTATTATACCTTGGTGAAAATGATATGATTGACGCATGTCAGATCGTATGGGCTACTCACGTAACGGTTATTAGAAAAGTTTTTTAACGAAAAAAGTGTTTACCTCGCTATACATGAACGAAGACTGATATACATTTATTACTTATACCTATTTCATTATCAGGATTGTATGAAGAATTTATCATTAAAGAATTTAATGAAATTAGTTATAAATACCGGATAATTCTGTCTGGGAGCATAGGAATAAAAAAACCTAAGTGTTCTCACTAAATCATTCGATTCGTAACTTAATCGGTTACTACGAGGAATATAAAGTTTAACGGATACCTACATTTTTAAATTCGGTATCTATACAGAAATAAAATATGTTCTGATTTTCTGATTTTTAAAAATGTTCGATTTTATAGCTGATGACTCATATTTATTCTTGTTAAAAATTGGTAGTTTTGAATGTAGTAAATTAATATTTTTAATTTCTGCGATTGTTTTTTTTTTTAATGTTGTAACAAAATATATTTTAGTCTTTTATTATTTTTGGTTCAAGCCATGTTGGGAGGTTATGCTTTATTGCACCGCTTTATAAATATGTTCGGTGTTAGATACCAATAATATCCAGTCAACACTCTGGGGGTTTCTGTTAAAGTTATGTTTTTGTTTCTTGTAGATTCTTTTGTTTAAAGATTTTAAAATACCGCGCATTACTATAAAATGTTGCATATTGTAGACATACATACACATGGTACTGCAACAAACAAAACAAGTACATCATAAACAAAATGATTTGGTTGTTGTCAATATTTATTGTATGTATTATTATTTTGTTTTAAAATTACACTCAAAACAAAATATTCGATGAAAATTGAGCTCCGCAATATAAAACTATTTCTACTACAGTTTTAGTTCAGTTCTAGTTCAGTTCTAGTTCAGTTATAGTTCAGTTATAGTTCAGTTCTAGTTCAGTTCTAGTTCAGTTCTAGTTCAGTTCTAGTTCAGTTCTAGTTCAGTTCTAGTTCAGTTCTAGTTCAGTTCTAGTTCAGTTCTAGTTCAGTTCTAGTTCAGTTCTAGTTCAGTTCTAGTTCAGTTCTAGTTCAGTTCTAGTTCAGTTCTAGTTCAGTTCTAGTTCAGTTCTAGTTCAGTTCTAGTTCAGTTCTAGTTCAGTTCTAGTTCAGTTCTAGTTCAGTTCTAGTTCAGTTCTAGTTCAGTTCTAGTTCAGTTCTAGTTCAGTTCTAGTTCAGTTCTAGTTCAGTTCTAGTTCAGTTCTAGTTCAGTTCTAGTTCAGTTCTAGTTCAGTTCTCTAGTTCTAGTTCAGTTCTAGTTCAGTTCAGTTCTAGTTCAGTTCTAGTTCAGTCTAGTTCAGTTCTAGTTCAGTTCTAGTTCAGTTCTAGTTCAGGTATCTAGTTCAGTTCTAGTCAGTTCTAGTTCGTTCTAGTTCAGTTCTAGTTCAGTTCTAGTTCAGTTCTAGTTCAGTTCTAGTCAGTTCTAGTTCAGTTCTAGTTCAGTTCTAGTTCAGTTCTAGTTCAGTTCTAGTTCCGTTCTAGTTCAGTTCTAGTTCAGTTCTAGTTCAGTTCTAGTTCAGTTCTAGTTCAGTTCTAGTTCCGTTCTAGTTCAGTTCTATTCAGTCTAGTTCAGTTCTAGTTCAGTTCTAGTTCAGTTCTAGTTCAGTTCTAGTTCAGTTCTAGTTCAGTTCTAGTTCAGTTCTAGTTCAGTTCTAGTTCAGTTCTAGTTCAGTTCTAGTTCAGTTCTAGTTCAGTTCTAGTTCAGTAGTTCAGTTATCAGTTCAGTTCTAGTTCAGTTCTAGTTCAGTTCTAGTTCAGTTCTAGTTCAGTTCTAGTTCAGTTCTAGTTCAGTTCTAGTTCAGTTCTAGTTCAGTTCTAGTTCAGTTCTAGTTCAGTTCTAGTTCAGTTCTAGTTCAGTTCTAGTTCAGTTCTAGTTCAGTTCTAGTTCAGTTCTAGTTCAGTTCAGTTCTAGTTCAGTTCTAGTTCAGTTCTAGTTCAGTTCTAGTTCAGTTCTAGTTCAGTTCTAGTTCAGTTCTAGTTCAGTTCTAGTTCAGTTCTAGTTCAGTTCTAGTTCAGTTCTAGTTCAGTTCTAGTTCAGTTCTAGTTCAGTTCTAGTTCAGTTCTAGTTCAGTTCTAGTTCAGTTCTAGTTCAGTTCTAGTTCAGTTCTAGTTCAGTTCTAGTTCAGTTCTAGTTCAGTTCTAGTTCAGTTCTAGTTCAGTTCTAGTTCAGTTCTAGTTCAGTTCTAGTTCAGTTCTAGTTCAGTTCTAGTTCAGTTCTAGTTCAGTTCTAGTTCAGTTCTAGTTCAGTTCTAGTTCAGTTCTAGTTCAGTTCTAGTTCAGTTCTAGTTCAGTTCAGTTCTAGTTCAGTTCTAGTTAAGTTCTAGTTCAGTTCTAGTTCAGTTCTAGTTCAGTTCTAGTTCAGTTCTAGTTCAGTTCTAGTTCAGTTCTAGTTCAGTTCTAGTTCAGTTCTAGTTCAGTTCTAGTTCAGTTCTAGTTCAGTTCTAGTTCAGTTCTAGTTCAGTTCTGGTTCAGTTCTGGTTCAGTTCTAGTTCAGTTCTAGTTCAGTTTTGGTTCAGTTTTAGTTCAGTTCTAGTTCAGTTCTAGTTCAATACTAGTTCAGTTCTGGTTCAGTTCTAGTTCAGTTTTAGTTCAGTTCTAGTTTAGTTCTAGTTCACTTATGGTTGTGAACAATACATTCAATATTGAAAGATTTTTTTTGTGACCGTAAAATAAAATAACCTAAGGTGCTTTTTTATTTTGTTATACAAAAAGAAAACTGTTTTTTTTCTATGTTCAATAGTTCTCCAAAAAAAATGTTGTTAATTTTTTAAGGGGGATTTTGTATCGTTAAACATTTTGGCAGTATAGAAGGCACGTATGTTACACTCCAGAGTGTTGAATCGTGTTCACAACGTGATTACTGCCTCATGTTGTGTGCTACATAAAGTTTTCCAAATCAAAATACAAAATAATAGAAGAAATAAAGTCGAACCAAAGATGTAGTGTTAGTGGTTAGAGGCATTATGCAATTGCAGTCGTAGTTAAAATTGTAAAAATTCCAAAATTTTTTGTTGCAGTTGTAGTAGGTTCATAAAGATACATTTATGCATACGAACACAAAACGAAAGCATGCCAAATCTCTAGCTGCTTTCCTATTAGTATTGTAGAAGGGGGAGAAAGCTTAAGGCGATCTTTTGAACCTTTATGGTGTTTAAAGTTAGAGTTGGTTGCATCCATTCCATGCATACATATAAAGTCAGTTTTTCGACAACGTCGTCGTCATTATATCATGATTATAATTTGTGGATGCAATTGGGTATAAAAACACACAGAGAAACGACAGACAAACAACGAGTAACAGTAACACAATAAATGCAACATCATCAGCAACCAACAGCCATAACAAAATGTTAAATAAATAATCGTGGTGTTTAAGTGACTTTAGTGGTCACAAAGTTTAGTGACACATAGAAATTTAAATAAAATCACTAAACTTACAATAAGTCATGATGCAAATACTAATGCAAAATTTTTTCAAGCTGTAACAAAAAAAGAACTAAATTTAAACACTTTTTATTGCTTCATTTTCAATTTGTTTGCCTTTTATATGGTATTACAAAAATTCAATTTATCGAATATTCGATATTCAATACAAAATATTTTTTATTTTCCTCATAGTATATTTACGTGTAGGGAGATGTGAAACCGTTTTTGTGATGACATTTGACTTATTAGTTTTTGGTTTTCTTAGTTATTTGCAAAATATTTTAAAATTCATTCCATATCGTTCAACCACCCACACACTGTGTCTATTTAAGGCTGCAATCACTTTTTTCTTGTTGTCATAAAATTGCTGCAAAAATTCCTTACAAATCGATTTTTGCTGTTAAACTTGTTAATTTTCGTAAATTATCAACTACCAACTAAATCTGACAAATTGTTCAATTAACTAGACAAGAAAAACTATATAAATTTCGTAGATTTACATATTTTTGCAGATTCTTTACTTTAATAACACATAAAAAGTATTACAAACTTAAAATTCATCATAACAATAATATAATTTTAGGGTTCTTTTTTATCGCATATAAAGCAAATACGTACATACATATGTATGTATGTATGTATGTATGTATGTATGTATGTATGTATGTATGTATGTATGTACATATGTATGTATGTATGTATGTACACTATCGGACAAAATAAAGTGCAAAAGTACTCATGATATTTCAGCGAAAAATCTGTTAAATGATTATTGAATATTGAAAATTTTTTTAAATACATTTATTTAATTTCAGCGAAAAATCTGTTAAATGATTATTGAATATTGAAAATTTTTTTAAATACATTTATTTAATATACAATGCTACAAAAATAACTCCAAAACAAAAATATTAAAATAAAATTAAAATGAATTCACTTTTTTGTCGGACAAAATAAAGTGCAAATTTTATATATATCATTATTTAAATTTCTTGTATATCAAATTTGTTTGGTTCCGATTTGAATATTTGGATCGACTTAAGCAATTTTTTTACCATTATTATTCGCAATCGCCTTCCCTTCCCCTTGCTTTCCTTCATATGATTATTTTCATTTTTGTTCACTATTTCATCGGAATTTATGATCAATTGTGGGCAAAAATTAATATATTGGATTTAGTGAGGTGCCCTGAGCAGGCCTTGTAAATTTTATTATTATTATTATTATTATTATTATTATTATTATTATTATTATTATTATTATTATTATTATTATTATTATTATTATTATTATTATTATTATTATTATTATTATTATTATTATTATTATTATTATTAAATCGACTGAAGTAAAATTGAGTAAAAAGTAAGACCTATCCAAACAAAACCGATTTTTTGGGCACGATTTATAAATAAATATTAAATATTTTCGAAATGGCTATTATTTTCGGTGTTAGTATAAATTTTGCTGTATAACTCGTATTTTATTTCCATGAATGTATACATTTTCTATTTTAGTGGAACACCACGCACTCATACAGCTGCTCCAGGCTCTGGTAAAGTCGTTTACACATTTGGCAATCCAACGTTAATCAGCAATACTCAATGGTCGCTAGTCACAAAACCAAAAATACATGTTAAGCAATTGCTACAACATAATGGTGAATGTCTGGGCATGAATTCGAATGGCAGATATATGTTTGATTGTCTACGTGAAAAAGCTGAAATTGCGGGGGATCGTGTCTTTAATATTGGCAGAAGTTTGTGCCAGAAAGTATTTGGAGAAGATGCTGAAGATTATGCTTTAGCACAAGTGGACGTTCATTCACAGGTAGGATTTTTAATAACATACATATCTTGTAGTTACTATATTATGTAAATGTATGTACTCTTTTATTACTTACTTTTAGGATACCATTAAAACTATAGGCACCATTTTTAGTGATTACGATGGTCCTTTAGATCCCTCTTCCACTTTGTTAGTTGGCTCCGATGAGATGTCTTGTCGTACGGTTCGTCTAAATTTCTCTAAAACGAAATCAGTTGGAGTTTTTCCAGGCCAAGTTGTTATGGTCTCTGGAATGAATCCAAAAGGAGATATTTTTATGGTTGAAGAATTGTTTACCGAGCAAAATCTCAAACCGCCAACACCACCTTCTATTGTTGAACAACTAAGTTTCGTTATTGCCGCCGGACCTTACACGCAAGATGATGATTTAGTTTATGATCCACTGCAAGACTTGGTGATGTATCTGAAGGAACACAGACCAAATGTCTTAATATTGTGTGGACCATTTATGGAAGCTGAACATAAACTTATTAGCGATAACATAACATTAGCCGAAACATTTGAAATTTTCTTTGAAAAGATGATTACAGGCATTGTTGAAGCTGTTGGAGGTGATACCACGATTTTAGTTGTGTCATCTCATCGTGACGCTAATGCTGATTGTGTTTATCCAACAATGCCTATAAGTTTGAAGAAAACATTTCCAAATGTACACATGTTACCGGATCCTTCAATAGTTGATTTGAATGGCTTGACCATTGGCATGACTTCTACAGATATTGTGGATCACATCTTATATAATGAGTTACAGATGTAAGTTGAAAATTCATAATAAGTTTTTTAGCAGACACGTTCTTGAACAGAACCTCAATGTCACGTTAACGCCAAAATGGCTTATGTGTCCTGTCATAAAGATAACAACTGGCTATATTATAATGCATACATTATTCTTGTATGACTTTGTTATGTGTCTAGAGTATTGTCAATTTACATGATCGGTATGAGATAATTGTTTTTATTAAATCATGCAATATTTATTAATTTATTTTAGAAATGCTGGAGACAAAGTCAAGCGCGTGGTTAATTACTTATTACATCAAAAATCGTTTTATCCCTTAAGTCCACCCAAAGAAGATGAAATGTGTTTCGACAGCTATTTAGCTAGCAAATTTACAAACATTGATCAGATTCCAAATATACTAATTTTGCCAAGTTCACAAAAGTGTTTTTTGAGGGTAAGTAAACATTGTCATATACATTTTAAATACTCAGAGATCAATAGGAAAAATATTCATAATTACGTTATATATAACTATAAAAACACAGTTTAAAATAATAATTAACTGATAGTTTGTTAATTCCATTTTGAATATGTTTATCGGATTGCAGGTCGTAGACGACAATAAGTAAACTGAGTCCATGTCATAAATGAGGAAATTGAATAGTTCATTAACTTTATAGAACAGTTTATCCATCCAATACCATTTCATACCGTTTTTCAATTCTTAAACAATGTAAATTTAAATTATTTTAACTATAATCGTAGGTTGTTAATGGCTGCCTAGCCATTAATCCCGGACGTTTGGCCGACAACAATGGTGGAACCTTTGCTCGCTTTATTATAAATCCCCCAACACCGAAAGAAGAACAAAACATTTATAACTTTGTAGGTTGCCAAGTACGTAAAGTTTAGTTTACAAATCTGACTGTATACCAAAACTAGACGGACTTAGTATTTTAACTATAAGAATGAAGCACTTTAATTTTTTATTAAATAAACTCAAAATTTCTGTTAAAAATTATAAATTATTATTTTTCTCAAATATTTTACAAACAGAAAGTATGTATGTATGTTTTATATCACGTGGAATAAAACATTAATGACTTCAATTGCCAAAGGCACAGGGGAAATATTTTTTATCGTTTTCAACAATCTCTTCAAGAATGTCATCAATATCGGTTTCAGGAAAGCGTTCTACCCAAGACTTGATATAACCTTCGTGTGATGCCTCATAGGTAAGAAGTTGGACTTTATCGTTTTCAACTTTTGTATTTGCTTGCACTAAAATGACACGAGGCTTTTTGTGGGCTAAGCATATATCACGCCATTTAGCCCATGGATGGGGACCAGATTCATTAACTTCTGAATAATGCTCATACATTTTGGCAGCACTTGCAATATCAGCGGCAGACTTATAAACTTGCAATTTTTGTAGGAAATTCTCCATTGCCTTTTTACCAACAGTCTCAATTTTACTACGATCAACTGTGAGACGTAAATTTTTACCTTCTTCACATTCCTCGATGGTAACAAAACCTTCTCCAGCTTCTAATAATACTTTCATTATAACAAAACGTGCTCTGGAATGTGCTTGCATCCATTGTTTTGATTGTGGATTGTACATTTCCAATGCTACGCCCATGCCATTCCATATCAACGATAACCAATTAATGTAGATTATGTTATCCTGTTCAGCTGGATCTTTGAAGCCGAAAATTTCCAATATATCACGTTGTAATGATAGATAAAGGCCAACAGCTTCTGCGCGACATTCCTCATATGATGAACCAATAGCACCAAACTTTGTGTCATAAGTTTCTCCCGGCAAATACCAAGTGGTAATTGGTTCTCCATTAATAAGATTCTTTGTGTTATCCTTGTCAAAATTAAATTTGCCGTTTTCATCGATGCGGAATAGTTTGCCACTTCCATGGCCGAGAAGTTCATGGAGTCCCACTTGGACTTCAAATGCTTTTACTTTGTATTCTTTCATTAGAGTTTGGTCGTCATCTGACAAAAAGGGTATGGGATCTTTACGATTAATATTAGCCAAAACATTACCGAGTGAAACGTTTTTAAATCCTTCATCTTGACGTATTTCATCATCTAACAGGTAAGAAATAAGAAGTAAAATAAATAAAAAGAAAAAAACTTGTTGACTTACAGTTTGGAATATTAATTCCAGCCGGCACTCCACTACCAGCAAATGTTAAGACGTCCAATGAAGTAAAGTCTGGTTTTAAATAAGAATCTTTTTCATATTCTTTGGTCCAAGGTAAATATTCCAGCAATTTTTCAGCCTTAGCTACCAATTCCGCAAATTTGGCTGAACTTTCCTTATTAACCATGGCAACAAAACCTTCAAATTCAGCTCGTCCACCAGCGGGATCACGATAAGTTTCAATAAAGCCAATATAAGTTTCAATTACTGGTCCCTTATCTTTAATCCAATGTCTTGAACCATCTTTGTGGTCAGCTAAAGTACCTTCTTCAAAGGATTTTATATAGCTCTCGATCATATTTACTTGATTTTCGTTGGCGGCAAACTTTTTAGCTTCTTCCAGATTCTTATCAACACGAGCCAATAATTTAGTGTAGTCACCACGAGTTACACGGAACTTGTTACCCTTATATGTTTCTAGAGGTAATGTAATGCCATCTTCGTCTTCAGTACGTACAGAAGCCAGTTTTATGTCATATATAACTTCGCCATTCTCCTCAACTTTGAAAGTACGACACATATAGGGCTCAATACGTTTAGATGTCAGCCAATCGTTAACAATGTCAGCATCTTCCTTAGTGCAATTATCGGACCAATATGTAGTTATACCATTTGGTGCAAAACCCAAAATTTCATTACGGGGCTTTAAAGCATAAATAAGGGATATTACTTTATTGAATACTTTAGGAACTTGACAATCCTTGCTAAATGCAGTTGATAGTTTAACAATCTCTTCAAATTTTTCTTGACTTAGATTTGGTAAAATTTTACTATCACCCATGCCCTTGTAATTACCAGCATTGGCAAATATACCACAGGCGTAGACTAAAAATGCCTGTAAGATATTAATGTTTGGTAAATGACTTATTGAAATAAAATTTTGTATATCTTACAGTAAATTCTTCTTCAGTTATGCCATTCGATAAACATTTGTTCTTCAAATCCTCCAAAGGTTCAGCTACAAAAATACGATGTAACAAAGAAAAAATCAGGGGACCCTCAGGACTAGATTGTATTAAAGAAATGAGACCTCCATCCCACGAGGCTTTGCTGTAGTAATGAGCATAAAGTTTCTCCTTTTCTGTTAGATTTTCAAAGGCGTTTTTACATTCTAAATCAGCTATAGGCTGGGTATTGGGTAGAACGAAATGAGCAGCGTTTCCAGATGCCATAGTTCGTGTAGTGATAGTTTGACTAGAATCAAAGAAAAAACATCAGTATTGCGAAATTAATTAAGGTGAAACAAATAATATTGGTACCTTAAGTTTTGTCTATTAAATATTAATAAACTATTTAATTTTTGTATCAGTTGACATTTGTTTGTGGTCCTAATGTAGGCCATATTTGAATTAAATTGCCTTAACTGACAATTTTTTAAGCAATATACATTTTTTAGTGGTGCTTTGAACAAATTTTTACTTAAGCTTAACATTTTAATTGTTTATTACTCGGACTTAATTTCTTAGTTATATGTATATTGATTGCGTCTGCAAGAAAATGTTCATGTTTTATTTTATAAAGTAGAATTTTGAAAAATACAAAAAAATTACTTACATTAGTACTATAAAAGATACCTATTTGTTCTTTTTGAAATAATTTAATGCCAAAAATAAAACTGAAATAGGGAGATAAATTTTTAAAGTAATTTTTTAATAATAAGTAAACCGAAAACAAAAACATGCAGTTTTTTAAAAGCCAACATAAAACAATGAAAAATAGTATGTGATCTGATTTTCGTACAGTATTGTTTATAATTGTATTGTTGAAAGTCACCCCCTTAGATCTACGTTCTTAAATGTACTAGATACGAAAGTGCGCAAGATTTTTACAATGAGAATATTCATTGTTTACTTTTTAAATGATTAGTTATTTTATCAAACTTGGTGACAATAACTGCCTCAATTAAGATTTAAAGGTTATGTGGGAGAAAGAAGGATTTCACAAGTTTGCCACGACACATTGTATCTCTAGAATACTTCATCGGTATTAACGCTAAATATGAAAAAGGGAAAATACAAATAATATTTTACTTACCTTATTATTTGTGTTGCAAGTTGAAATTTTGCAGAAAATTCTATATATTTATCTAATTTTGCAATTAATTGCCGGTAAATAAAAAATTGCAATGACTTACGAAAAATCAACTGTCAGCTGGTTTCTTGATGACATATATGTTATAGTGTTAGAAAGTGTTTTAAAATAGCACTGCGGGCGGAGATGACTATACTTTATTGAAATGAAATTCATAATAAATAAATGTAGTAAATAATATATATATATATATATATATATATATATATATATATATATATATATATATATATATATATATATATATTATTTTTTTTTTCATTCTTAAAAATAAATTTAAATCTTAATTAAAAACTATATTGCATGGTGGACTTCATTGTTGTAAATAAGATATGAAATCCACAATATATGTATGTATGTACATTGTACATACATATATATTAAATTCAGGGCAACACTCAAAACGCTGATATATAATCGTGTTAAATTTTAGTTAACTGTAATGAATGGAAATAATGGAATTCTACTGTAATATATTTTACATCGTGCATTTGCACATTGTGTTTTTTGTGTTACTCAAAATTTTAGGCACTTCCTAAATACTACCTAGCACTTAGGACTTGACCTATTTTCTTTTTTATTATGATACTTTTAACTCTTCAATGTGATTTATGGGTTAATACACAATGTATATTAATATCGTAAAAAGTAAAAATTTTCGTTAACCAACACTTTTTACGTTATTAGTACGTAAATACAACACTGAGATGTGACGTAAAAATTCGTTTCCATATTTCAAAAACAAAAATCCAAGCGCATTTTTTTTTTCAAGAACAAGAATACAAAAAAGGACAACAGGAAAATTTATTCCTCAAATTAGAAAAAAAAACAAATCATATATAATAATTAATAAGAATTTTAAGAAAAAGTTGTGAAAGTTAAAAATTTGTGAAAAGTTTTAAATATTATTAAAACATTAAAAATTAGAAAAAAAGACGCGCTTTTAAAATAAACAAAATGGACAACATTTCTCGTCGCCTATCGACAGAAGACACAGCTACTTCGATGTACTTATCATTTGATGCCGAAAGTACCATGTCTACTGCATGTTACAAAACTTTAGAAGCTATGAGTGATATCTCATCCCTATCTGCCATCGATATGGAAGAATCAGTGAATAAGAGCAAAACAGGAGATATGAATAGCACTTTGGAGGCTCGTAATGATTCACAAACATTAAGTCCTTTAAAAACGGTAAAGAAGATGGAAATGCCGGTGAAATTACACACTCCACTGAAAGCATTGCCCAAAAATATTTTAAAAGAATATAAAGCCCTATGTTCAACTCCTTCCAAGGAGCAGCTATTGAAAACAGTCGATGTGACACGTGGCTCAGATGCCACTAGATGCGTAGATTTAGGCTTAGCGTTTTTGGGAGTGGAAGATGAAAAACCTGCATATTTTCCTCCTCCACCAGTAGAAATAAATGAAGAAAATAAGGAAAATGCTTTGCCGGAGACAGATGAGGTTTCTACTTTGTCGACTTGTTCTTCTGTAGAAATAACAGCTACATCAGTTATTGAGAGAAAGATGTTAACTTCAGTATCTACAGTCGGTTCCATAACCGAAGAAGAATCTTTGGAAGAAGTAAAAATTATGAAACACGTAGAAGAAATTTTGGTTTCAGCTGACCATAAAAAACTTGTTTCCAATAAATCCTTATTAGAAGATAAGGAAAACAATGATGTACTACATTTTAATGAACAGAATCTTGAAACTACTCCCAAAGTTAAAGTTGAAAATATGGGTAAGTTGTTATATTAACTTTAAAAACGGAAGTATTCAAATTGTTTTAATGTTTTTAGAAGATGCTGCTGATATAAAAGAAGTTGTTAATACGGAAGAGTTTGGTATACAAAATGTTGAAACAACTCCTAAGGCTAAAGCTGGAAATATTGAACATATGGGTAAGTTTATTAAACATTAACAAATTTATTTGGTGAAAATGTGTTATTTATTTTGTAAAAAAACAATAAATATTGTTTTTGTAAAATTTAGACACAATATCAGAAGACACTCCTGTAATCAAAGAATCTGACGATGAAAAGAAAGCCCCCGTTAAGAAATCTTCGTCTAAACCTAAAATTGCCGTTTTAGCTCGAAATGGACGACGATCTGTATGCGAACCGAATTTGCAAGCAAATAAACCTTCAAGAATTTTTAACTCTGTCAATAAACGACAATCTTTGTTGCCTACAAGTCGAAAATCCACTATGCCAATGGATGTTGAAATTGAAATTCCAATGCTAATGGATAAAATCTTAAAAATTACTAATTCTCCAACGAAAACCGAAAAAGTTGGTGCAAAAGAAACGCACCAGTTAATAACAGATCAGAATAAATCAACACCGGCTGAAAAGAGGCGCTCTATTATGGCTTCAATGAAAACTCGTAGTTCATTAATACCCTCTGCTGCAGGGGATAAAAGGCCATTCAGTTTTACACAACGTATGTCTGTAGTTGTAAAAACTACCTTAAACAGTCCAGCTCGCAAAATTGCACGTAAAAGTTCAATGGGCGGTATAATGACTTCACTTCAGAGGAGAAGTGTAATCCCACAAAAAGTGTCAACTATTGAGAACTCTAAAATAAAAAAACCAGAAATAAATGCTCGCCGTAGCATGCTATCAAAAACAACTGCTGTTCCCACAATCTCTAAATCTAAACATTTGGTTCCATTAGAAGAAAATTCTGTTAAACCTTCTACTATTCCGCAAAGACAATCTTTATATTCGTCAGCCAAAAATTTAGAAAGAGCTAAAATGAATTCAATTGGTGGTTTAACACACAACAAACCAGACATTACTTACACGTGTAATATTTGTAAAGAGAAATTTCGTATAAAATCATTACTTGATGCTCATAAGCGCTCCCATGAAAGCGATAATGCAACGCCAGCATTTATTAAAAAACCGACACCTGTCCTCCTCCATTCGAGCGGATCAAGTACAGTTGCAAATTCAAATCAGTGTAAATATTGTGATAAAAAATTTGCTCTAACTAGAGCATTACATATTCATCTTTTACAAAATTGTTTGAAAATTCCGCCATCAGAGAAAAGAAAACTTCAGTATACTGATTTGAATCATGTTGAAAAGGCTCAATTACCAAATGTTTTTGCACATCATAATTCACAAAGTAGCGCTTCAAGTACAGTTTCTTCTACAAATGCTACTCCTCGACATGCTTTAAAGCCGAATACATTATCTTTTCCTAAAAGTTCATCGGAGTCGTTGAATGAGAATAAAGGTAAGCGAATTATATAATTAATATAAAATTTAGTTAGCAATAACATCAAAACGAAGAACATACAGAAAATATGTTCATGTTTTCTATCCTAAGGTTTTGAATTTCGATTTTTTCGATCTAGCAAAAAAATAATAACACTATATAAAAATGAAAAACTATTTCAGATAAACAAAAGAATGCATCGGATTTACTAACAGTGGATGGAAATAATACCGCGATATCTGGTTCTGTTCAAAAAATTAAGAAGGTTTCTGCACATGCCGGAGTTTATCGCACTCCGAGTAAATCAGTACCATGTCATTTATGTAAATTAACGTTTAAGAGTATTTTAGATTATACTAATCATAATTTAACAACTCATGGTAGCAACAAAACAAATATTACAGAAGATATGGACAATGAAATTGTTGTTGAAGAAAATGTAACAACCAATAACTAAATTTCATAAATAATAAATAAATTTTGCATTTGATAATAAGAATATAAAAAAATATGAAAATTTTACTGCAAGCAGTAAATGGGTAAAAGGAAATATATCTTTTTAAGCTTCTTTATATTATTTTCTTTTATTAAATAAATTTATGCGCTTAAATATAAATAAAACTTACGACATATATGTAATGCTTTTATTGAAGAATTTTTAAAAGCTAATTAGCCTTGGATTTTTTTTCTGGTGGCGGTTTCATGTCAACATTTTCTTGTTTAATATCTATTCCCTGTTGGGATACACCGCCACTACCTGTTGGGCTCGTTTCAGAAGGATTGCCATTATTCCCTGTACTGTTCGTATTATTATCTTGAGAACTATTCGCATTTGCTTCTTGTGGATTTTGTAGTGGTTGACCAACTTGCTGTTGAATTTGTTGTTGATGAATTATTGGCGGAATAGGTGGTGGAAATTTACGCAACAGTTCTGCAAGTAACATATCAACCCTTTGCATTTGAAATACTGTACCACTATCGTCCTTAGCGGTTGCAGCATCTTTTTTTGCAGCTGCTCTTGATTTATCCGTCACTGAAATTTTGTGTTTTTTAATTTGATTTATTGTGACGAATTAAAACGAGTTTTACTTACACTGTTTATTAGAGCTAAAGTCCCATGTATAACCTTTATTAGGATGGTATCGAGAATAACTGCTGGCCTCTTCAAAAGCAGATTGTAAATTTGTAACAGTTGATAGCTAAATCAGAATGGCAAAAATACATATTTATTAGTATTTTAGTATTATAATTTTTAAGTAATATGTAATCTTACAATTCTTGAACTAATAACATTTCCCAAATCAGGAGCCTTATAAATTGTACCGCCTATTATATAATAATCTGCTATGGGAGTAGCTTCTTGGGGGTTATGTCGATGTTGCTTACGTATGACATATAATATTGGTTCGTGTACATGCAGCAATATATATTCTAAGCCAACCATATTACTAAAAATTATTGTTAAATATATAAATACAAATTAATACATATTCTAATATAATATCAATCGATTTACTTACTGTAAATTTTCAAGTCCCAAACGTTGCATACGAATAGTTTCATTATTGCACATTCGATCATAGAATGGATTTGATTTCCGGCAAAAGTAATCCATAACATTTTGTGGATTTAAAGAAGCCATCATCTGCGTATCATGCCAAGACACCCATAATGGGTTTTCTTGAGCTATAGGTTGCTGGCGGTTTGGCAACATTTTTTTTTTTTAATTTTCACAAATACCAAAAAATGCCTGCACGTTTCTAAAATATATATAAAAAAACAAGAAATTGCAACAATTCAACAAGTGTTATTTTATTTTTATCTATTTGACGGTTTGTTGATAAACAAAATAATAAAATCGTTTAGAAACGTCATCATCCCTCGCATTTCTCTTCCTCAATTTGTTTAAAATGCTATAATTAGAGGTCAATGTTGATGTAAAAGCAAATTTTACATTATTTTTATGCACGCTATTATTTTTAGTTGTGGTATTTTATTTTGATTTATCTTACTAAATTTTATTGTTTTTTTAATGTTGTGCAATAATTTTAATTTAGTGTTCAATTGTCTTCAAAAATAAACGACGCTTCGTCCGCCTAACGCATTAGACGTTTGTATACTAAATTTAAACAGGTGAGATTTGTTTACTTTTTCAATTTCACTTTTATTGTGTTATTTATAATTAATTCTTGTACCTTACACTTTTTCTTATATTTAAAATATAGATGTGATTGGCAATAAACAAAATAAAAAATAAATTAAAGCAAATATAATTTGGCTAATCTTCAGATTTTTTTGCGGATAACAGTGTGAAAGAGAACAGCTGATTGTAAGAAATAGTGGTGCCATATTATCAAATTGCGGTATTAAGTAAGGTATGTAAGTGGATGTGTAAGCAAATTAAGAAATGTTTAAAAAAATAACCTTTGTTCTGCGATGATGCTAAAATAATCTCGAATAAATTTCGAGAGGTGTGGAACTTAAGTTTTCATCGTGGGATAAGAAAACCATCTTCACTATTCCAATGGAGATATCGCTCATTCACTACGAGAATGAACTATGACATTTTACTATTTCTTAAAAAATATCGGATCAGATATTCGTGAAATATAATTTTTTGTTTCCACGTTTACAACAAAATCTCAATAAAACAACTGATGTTTTTTTTAAATAGATATGCGTATTTTATAGTCCATACGTTGAATGGTACCATTCCATAGATATCGTTTTCCCAAAAAATTATGATATCGTTATCTTTGGTTTATTGGGAAAACGAAATGTTCGTGTGGAACTTGATTGTTTTACAAAGGTAGGATGTTAGTACAAAAAATCTCGAATATTTATTTATGACAGTCTTGATGTGAATGAACGATATAGTAATATACATTTTCAATAATAAAATAAAAAAACAAATATTGAAAAAAAATAATCGACCTGGTAAGGTTAATTGGTTTTTGCTATCAAATCATTCATTGGTGATTGTTGGGTATTATTTGATTTTGTTTTGCTTTGCATAATTATTGTTTTTCTTTTTTAAGCTGTTTATCCAAAAATGACAAATCTTGACAGTTGTGTTGTTATTATTGTTGTGTTACTTGTGTGTTTTTGCGTAAAGGAAATGTACGGTTATATTATTTGTTCACAATTTTAATTTTCGCAAAATAGTACATTATTTATAAATACATTTTTAAAATGAAATATTTAAACAAACTACCATATCAAATAAATGTTTGAAGAAAACTTAAATGCTTAAATAAAATATTACAGAATAGTAGGAAAGAAAAAGTAGAAAATATCAACAAATTAATAAGTATATTTCCACGTTTCTTATTATTGCTAAAAATATATTAATATAAAAATACATAAGACAAAATTTAGAGGTCGCGTTAGAAGTGTATGTGGTTAAGAACAACAATTGGTGGTTTCCTCAGTCTCAGTTCGTTCTGTGCTTTGCATCGTGGCGGCATTACTCAGGAAGAAAGGAATCGTAGAGAACACATCATGGTAACACACAAATTTTTATACTTATAAAAATACATACATTTAAAATAATTCCTATTCCCTCTCTATTGAGTATATGTATTGTTATATCGTATTTGCTTATGTTAATTAAATCCTAATAATTTAGTCGAAAACTTGTTACTAAAATTTTATAATACATATGTAAGTTTTAAAGTTGTTTGTTTAGTTCTTATGCAATACATTTTCCTACTACATTTTCATTTCCATCGTACATTTTATATTCCAGTTTTTCATTTTTTGTTTTGCCATTTTTTTTTCTTCACCTTTCGCTTTTTAGCTAAACGAAAATATAGTAGAATATTATAAACAAATAAACTTATTAGATCGGGCATTCAAAAACCTTGATTTTTACGTTAACACCGCTATGAAAATTTGACCTCGAAATTTTGACATGAGTTGACTTAATGGATGTGCGTGTTTTATATTGTAACAACAAACTAAAAGTCTCATTGGAAAATACTTGCTAATATATTAATGTTTTGTGCAATTATTTTTTTGAAAGATTACTTTATAGTACTTACTCATAATTAAATAAATATTTATTTTGTTTGAGTTCGCGTTTAATCATTCTATGTATGAAAGTATGTGGTTTAGTAAATAAAAATAAAGTAGAAACTTATGTACGTATCAATAAATTTGAAAAAAAGTATAGATATATTTTGTACCTAAAATAGGGGTTCAATGAATATCCGGCCAAATGAATGGAATTTTAAATGAATAGTTCTTTTTTAAATAACATCATAGCTTAAGCGAAGTTCGTAAAAAATACCTAATTCAGTTTAAACAAGGATTCATTATAACAGTCATAGTTATAAAAAAAAAATAAGGTACTGATGTTCCGACCAACATTTTTGTGCTGTGGTCAAAAATTATTTTTGAGGGGTTTCCATTTGTTTATGTTTCACGCAAAGTTAAACCTTCGAGAGGCGGTTTAAATAACGTACATAAATATCTTCAATTTTTCTTATACATATGTACTTAGTTCAACAATATTGAACATTTTACAAATTTTCGAAAAAATTTAAAATCTGTATATAGATTTATATAATATGTATAAAAAAAGAAATGAATGAAATTTTGGCAAACGCATTTTTATTGTTTTTCGAAATTCAATATACATATACCTACTACCAAAGTATATTAATAAAGTAGCGACATCTCTTGTTGTACAACAACATCTACAACAACCACATGTATTTTGTTTTTGGAAAATTTAAGATTGTGTCAAAATAAAATTTCCTTGAAAAACAATGTGAACAAAACATAAATAAAAAATATTACTTTTAAGTTAAAGATATTAACGATTTAATTATATTATTATATATTATACAATTTATTACACTTTTAAACTACTTTAAAACCACTTTTAATTCACTTTTTCAACTTTTCACAAATTTTAACAAGTAGCAAAACACAATTTAAAAATGGCGACGTAAACAATGTTAACAATTTTCAAAACAAACTTTGACAATTTGCTTCATTTATCTAGTTTAAAAAAAATAGTCAGCTGTTCAAGTGATGCTACTTTATTAATTTACTTTGCCTACTACATTTTATTTGATTATTTATGAAACCAACCAACCAAATTTTAGTAAAATTGTATGATATATAAAAATTTTACTTATCGAGTGACTATTTTCAATAGTCTCTATCTAAAATAACACAAGTTTTCAGGAGAGCAAAAAAACTGTTTATTTAGGTAGTTCGTGAAAATTTTTGAATTTTTTCTTCTACAATATATGTTTAAGACCATATTCTAAATCGTTATATAAAAAGAATTTCAAATTTTTGTATTATTTGCAGAATTATTCACAACTTTATATCAGACAGAGCTTTTTTTCTACGAAAGTTTTTGTTTACATCCTTCAGATAGAGAGTTTTTCATAGAAATATAAATTTTTTATTTGATTTAATATCAATTAGGTTAGGTTAGGTATTCAGGCTGCAAAGACGCACACTTGGGTCCTGTTGGTCCCTTTGTGATACCTGTAAAGATAATAAAATATAAAAGAAAGAGGGTAGAGGATAGTAGAAGATAGTTTAGGATTAAGTCATAGAAGAGAAATTGAAGTGGAAGAGAAGATTGAGAGGTCTGTCCTTGCGGACTAGTGAGTGCCTTAATTATGGCTTGGTGGTCCTAAAACCAGTTACTGTGCCTGATGAAGGCATTTATGTTATCCAGTCCTAGATTGGATAGTTCTGACAAGTCATCAAATAGTCGTTTTCCTAGATATACGGATCGAGTGTCCGCTAGCGCCGGGCATTGACAGAGAAGATGTTCGATGGATTCTTCCTCCTCTTCGTCTTGACAGCTTCTACAGAAGTCGTTGTGGGGAATTCCAAGTCTTCTTGCATGGTTTCCCAATGAGATATGCCCCGTAATGACAGCAACAAGGTTGCTGATATGAGGGCGGTTTAGTTGCAGAAGATATGACGTGCGTTTACTGTCCAAATTTGGCCATATCTTCCTTGTATTGATACAAGTTGGTTCATTACGCCATCTTGTCTGAGAAATTTCATAGAACTTTCCATCTATTATGGTCTTGCAAGCTTTTAGCGGTATTCCGCAAAAGATGTCTATGTCTCTGTCGGACATTGAGGCTCCTAGTTTCGCTAATTCATCAGCGATATAGTTGCCAGTCAAATCCCCGTGTCCCCGTACCCATTTGAGCACGATTATTGAATGTCTCGCCATCCTGTTTAAGGATGCCCGGCATTCCTGGACTAGTTTAGATGTAGTATATACACCAATCAGGGATTTGATAGCAGCTTGGCTGTCGGTACAAATTTGAATATCTCTGTTTGATATTCTGTAGTACCAAAGCCAATTTGCTGCTCTTTTTATGGCTGATAGTTCAGCCTGTAGTGGACTACAATTATTCTGTATCCTAAAGCTTATTTTAGTTCCAAATTCAGGGATAAAAATGCCACCTCCAACTCGTTCCCCTTTTTTAGAACCATCCGTATATACCAGGAGGGTTCTTGGGGAACTGTTATCCTCCGGTGAAGAGTTTTCGGATATTGTGTATCCGAAGTCCCTACGGAGGAAAGGTTTGGGTATGCAGTAATCAATATTGCCCGGGAGGAAAGATGTTTCCCTCATAATAGCCGCATGGCCGTATGGCCTGTGTGTCCAAGCATTTATGGCATCAAGTCTGAGGGCAGTGATGAGTGCCAGTTTTCTGGCTATCAGATCCGTTGGGATCCAATTAAGCATTGCGAATAGAGATTTGGTTGAAGTTGTTCTCAGTGCTCCTGTTATAAGGATTGCTATCCTTCTTAGTACCTTATCAAGAAGTATACAATTGGAGTTGTTGTCCAGTGCTTTCCACCAGACAACAGCCCCGTAAAAGAGAATAGGTTTAATAACCGCTTCATGGATCCAATTTACCAGTTTGGGATTTAGTCCCCATCTTTTTCCTATGGCCTTCTTGCAAATGTACATTGCCATTAAGGCTTTGTTTACTCTGGCTGTGATATTTTCCTTCCATGATAGTTTACTATCAAGTATCACCCCTAGGTATTTCGCACTGTTCGAAAGTGAGAGTACGACTCCGTTTAGTCGAGGTAGGGTAAAATTTTCGATCTTGTATTTCCTGGTGTAGAGTACAAGTTCGGTTTTACTAGGGTTTACACTCAAACCACTATCAACGCTCCATTTACTTAGTAGATTGAGTGCTGATTCGAGTCTTTGAGATATCGTATTCAGATGGAAACCTGATACTGCTACCGCAACGTCATCTGCGTAAGCGACAGTCTTGTATCTTTGGTTGTCCAGTTTCATTAGTAGGCTGTTTATGGCCACATTCCATAAAAGTGGTGATAGGACTCCACCTTGAGGTGTGCCCCTGATTGCCATTCTTTGAATACATGCCATTCCCATGTTAGAACGGATAATCCTGTGTTGAAGAAGGTCTTTTATGAATTTAATCACTGATGTCTCAATACCGAGCTCTTCTAGAGCTGATATGATGATGTCGGGTTTGACGTTGTTAAAGGCTCCTTCTATGTCCAGAAAGGCCACTAACGTGTATTCACCAAATTCCAAGGACTTTTCTATATGTCCCACTAGTGAGTGTAGGGCCGTCTCAACTGATTTGCCTTTGGTGTAGGCATGTTGTGAGGGAGATAGGAGCATAGGATCTATTGACGATCTTATGTGGACGTCAATGATCCTCTCTAGGGTCTTAAGCAGAAACGATGATAGACTTATGGGCCTATAATCTTTTGCCTTAATGTGCGTTGTTTTTCCTCCTTTGGGGATAAACGTCACACTGCATTTGGTCCATTGTTCTGGTACGTATGACCATGTAAGACAGGCTTGAAATATTTCAAGTAGCCATGGTATAACTAATTCTGCATTATATTGCAGGTCAGCTGGAATTATGCCGTCCGGGCCCGGTGACTTATATGGGTTAAAGCTGTTTATTGCCCATTTTATCATTCCCTCGTCTATAGTTATTCCGATCGGGGTTTGACAATACGTTTGTGGTCTTTCCATTGTAATATCTAATGGTAAGTTACCTGGGAAATGAGTGTCCATTAATTCCTGTAGGGATTCTTGTCCACTCGTTGTCCACTCACCGTCTTGCTTTTGGATGTAGCCTTGAACGGTTTGTGATTTAGACAGGATTTTGCATAAACGACTTGTCTCTGAAGAGCTTTCGATGCTACCACAGAAGCTTCTCCATGAGCAGCGTTTAGCATTCCTAACCTGATTCTTAAATTTATTCAATGAGGCTTTATATGTGGACCATTCACCTGATCTTTTGGCCTCATTGAAAAGTTTGCGACATCTATTCCTAGTCTTCGCTATTTCCGAGGACCACCAAGGAGGTTTACTTTTACCCTTTGGTATCGAAGGTTTGCATGTTCTTCTTGTTGCTTGATTAAGAGAGCGTGTAAGGTTGTCTACAGCTCTATCAATATCTGCTGTATTGTTTATTTCCGGCGTATTTTGAAGAAGACTTGTCAGGATTCGATTTTGTTCTTCCCATCTTGTCTTTCTTCTGTTTAGAAAGGGGGTTTTCCTTTCCTGTGTATTTTCTATTGAGAATACGAGATATCTATGATCTGAAAAGGAACAATCTTCCGATACTTTCCAGTTTCGGATTATGTGCGAATGACTTGTATTTACAAGCGTTATGTCCAGTACCTCTTGTCTATTTGCAACTACAAATGTAGGTTCTGAACCTCTATTTACTACTTCAAGATTATGATTTAAAATGAAGTCTAATACGAACTCACCTCGTGTGTTGATGTTGGTGCTACCCCATAGTGTATGGTGTGCGTTTGCATCTGCGCCTATAATAACAGGGATGCGTTTTCCGTTTGCTGCACTTACTGCCCTGACGACCGTGTTACTTGGCGGGGGGTCTGTCTGGTCGTGCGCCATATAGCAGGAGAGGATCCACATTGTGGATTCCTCTGTCTCCCATGCTGCGGTTACTGTATCTTCATCACTGTAATCAGATAGAATGAAGATATTTAGGGTGCTTTTAGCAAGTATGCAAGATCTAATGTTACCTGTGCCTTTTGCGTATAGTATTCTATAGCCTTTTACGTTGATTCCAAGTATGTTGCCGTTATGGGTCCACGGCTCTTGGATCAACGCTATATCCTCCCCTTGATATCCAAGGTGGAGGTGTAATGCAGCTGAAGCTGCTTTAGAGTGGTGAAGGTTCACTTGGATCACCTTCATCTTGGTCAGGGTCGTAGACGATTGTGACGTCGGCGTCTTCTGGGTCTGTTTTCAGAAGCTCGTCTTCGTCAATCACTTCGCCCTGGCTATCAAATAGATTCCCAATCAAGTCTGTACTTGATTGGGCGTCCATTTGGTCGTCAGAGTTAGTGGTATCGTCTACCTTTCCTCCGTCCGTGCTTACCGGTTTGGGGTCTAGTTTGTCGTCACCCCGGTAGACGCGCAGCTTGATACTATCAAATCCGTAGTATACTTTGCCTTGCTTCTCTCGGAGTAACGGCAACGATTCCTTATTAAGGACCACGACCGCCTTTCTGTTAGCACCTTCAGGTTCGGAGACCTTGACTACCTTCCAATTGTGGGTAGGTAGGTCAGGGTTTCCACTCTGAAGGTACGCCAGAATCGCCTCTGGTTCGTGTGGTTCCGCCGGAATAACCGTGATTGATCTCGGTCTGCGAGGTATCTCACTAACCGGGATCACGTCAAGTTTCGCGCCGGGCCACACTTCCCCTATAGACGTAACCGCCAACTTAAGCAAGTTTGCTGAGCGCTCGTTCGTGCACGCCAGCAGTTTGATGTGACCTTGGTACCAGCCAGCATCATCATTCTGCGGAGATGGACCGGGATTCTCTTTGAGAATTTTCCAATACACCTCCAGCATTTTTTGACGGATTATCAACCATTTATCCTGGGAGATAGCTCCGTCGTTGACACTCTTGTCAACAATGGCCCTAACCAGCGGGTTTTTGGCAACTTCGCTGTAGGGTCTATTGACTATACGAGTCTCGAACTGCTTCTGACGTTTAGTCTTCGGCTGTGGGACTGCCTGGAGAGCATGTTCTTCCTCCGATCGCTGCCGTTTAGGCCCTGCAGATGTAGCTTGGTCCGCTGCATCTGAGGTTGTAGGAGGGTCAGAACACTCCGGCTGAGCCAGTAGGGCTTTAGCCCAATCTAGGGACGATTTTTCGTCCGGGGTAAGCGTATCGACCGACTTAACTCCAAGTCGCTCGACTAAACGCATGGCGGCACGCCTTTGAACAAAAGCCTTCCTAGATGGATCTTTGCGACTAGGGGGGTTTTCGTTAGCCGTGAGGGCGGTTGAGGGGGCATTAGTTGGACCCGACATCGAGTTCGACGATCCAACCTGTCCAGAAGTCGCGGGGGTCACTGCTTGGTCCGCAGTGCCCGAGGCAGGGGTATTTGCTGGCGTACCAGCTAAGGCTTGTGCAGCTGATGAGGTGCTTGCCACTACGGACAAGATTTCCTCGCTGCGTTCAGCCGTGCTATCACCAGAAGGTTGGATAGCAGGCTGTTTGCAGTCCACCAGTTTAGGTTTCCCCAACTGGCTTTCCACGGGTTGTTTGTTGTTTGTTTGTTTATTTGTTTTTTTCTCCATGTGATTCCCACGAGTAGGCGCGTAATGGGTGGACGACCCACGCAGGGACGGCGTACGTGGGCTAGGCTAAGCATTACAACCGATCCGTGCCCTGGCATCGGAGGGGAGCTGTTAACGACTAGTCCTCTTTAACCACTAACTAGCCATTCAGGTTCTCGGCACTGCTTCCAACCACCTTAACCTTACAAGTGGGGGATGAGGGAATGGGTTATTGGGATTGGATTGAAGAGGGATAAACTAGGTGGATTGGGAAATATGGGGATGGGGGTGGGGTTGACAGTTTTGGTCCGCGGATTTGTGCATGGGGAACAGGAGAAGTCCTGTTATCATATATGACCGCCTGTTATCAGGTGTACCATAAATCATATCAGCACTCTACCATCTCTTTACATATCAGTAGGCCATTTGTCAAAAATGTATCCACTGATGTGATAAAAGATTGTCCTGATTCATGCACTCATCTAGATATGACAGGCTTGTTAGACCATTTGTCAAAAATGTATCTAGTCAGGTCTGCCTTATCTCGAGCTAGCGTCGTCGTTTTCGACCATTATGTCCAATGTGTCGAAAAAGACCATGCTTAGCTCCCCCTATCCGCCACCTGGGACGCGTCCGATGGGAGATCTGACAACTCCACACGAATATCAATTAATATTATATTTTATGCAATTTAATGAAGTAATATAAACCAAATTGTTGAAAAAGCAACAGATTATAAGGTTTTGGTCCAAAATCAATGTTATATGGTTAAACACGGCAATAAAATTAATCAAATTAGTATCATAATGAGCGATATCTCGAAAACTATTAAACCGATTTCAAAATTGCGGATTTGTGTTCAGCATGTCCAAATTAGTAAAAACACTGATTTTGCAACAGAAAATTATCCAAATAATAGCGTTTGAGGCAATTTTTGGATAAGATAGAGAGTTTTGCATTCAGAATTTAAATTTAAAAATGGCTATAAAATTACCAAAAAATATTTTTTTCTTTTGAAATTTATGTCACTGATGCGGGATAGTTTGCTGGATATTTTGCCATCAAAATCTTATTTTCATGAAAATGACAGATAGAGACTATTGAATATAGTCCCTCGTTATGTATTTATTTACATCAAATAATTCTATGTAAAAATTAAAAAAAATATTTTTTTTTATTACTTTTGCAATTGCACATAAACGGTTGATATGACATACAAATCCCCTTTCCAAGACCAAATTTTCTTTGTTAGAAATATTGCAAAATTATAAAAACCTTTAAAAAATATCTTTTTATCCTCTGATCCAGGTCAGTAAGTAAATATTCACGTCAGGACAATATATTTTGAACAATATGAACGCGCATCACTGTTTAAACTGGCATACGCATTATTCATACATATTATCTATTACAAATTGGATACATCAGCATACACGTACTTGTTTGCATGTCTTTTTCTGTATCAATTTGTTGCTCCTTTGAAAGGAATCTATTTAAAATGTTTCTCTCTTTTTAATTTTTTAGACCATTATAAGCTTTATTACATTAAAAATCATCTTCAGTATTGCTAGTTGCTTTAGTTTGAAATGCGCTATATTAAAGCGGAACCCTATTATGAGGTATATTAATTACTATTTGCTATATAAATATGTATGCAAACATAAACTGATATATAATTTAAGATGTTTTAATGTTAAACAATACGTATTTTCATTGTAAACTTACATATGTTGTGCAAAATATTTATTGTAGGGTCTTCCACCATTTAATGTATCCGGTAGTCCTTTTAATGTGGTGCCCATTCACCAGTATCCAGAGCTAATGAAGGATACATGCGCGCTAATAAATTCTGAATGGCCACGCAGTGAAACAGCGCGCATGCGTTCTCTCGAAGCATCATGTGATAGTTTACCGTGCAGTTTGGTTTTGACCACTGAAGGCTACACCCGAGTTATAGCACATTGCAAGCTTAGTCCAATACCATCAAAGAAGAAAGCATGTTTTATTGAATCTGTGGTAGTGGACAAGAGTTGTAGGGGTCAAGGTTTTGGCAAATTAATTATGAAATTTGCCGAAGATTATTGTCGTGTTGTTCTAGATTTAAATGTTTTGTATTTGTCAACAATTGACCAAGATGGTTTTTATGAAAGAATAGGCTATGAATTTTGCGAACCAATCTCTATGTATGGTCCAAGGCATTGTGAATTGCCTAGTCTGCAAAATGCCAAAAAGAAATACATGAAGAAAGTTTTATAGGCAACATCGGCAGTACGTTATCACAAATTTCAAATTAAGCGCCACAGAAAATAGTTCGATGTAATTGATTTTCTTTCAGTACACCAATAAAAATATTGTAAAATTGGGTTTATTGTTTAATTAAAAAATATTCCAGAAGTAAACTTATTTTTGTAAACTAAGTTTATTTCAAAATTCTGGAAACATATTGTTTTAATTAAAAGATGAATTCTAAATGAATGTTAATTTAGCTCAATTAAAATTTTGTAAGAATTGCATAGAATAAAAATTAAATTTATACCGGGCAGTAAAACATATAAGAAATGCAAGCTATAAATGTTAATCGAAAAATCAATTACAGAAAGTAGAACAATATTTCTGCTAAATTTAGGAATGGCTACGAATATGTTAAATACATTCAAAGAAGATTTAAATATTATAAATATATACATAGTATTCTATATCTGTCTTAAAGGGCAACAATACACATATTCTATAAAAAATCACTGCAAATTTAATTCCAATCAGTTTTATTTTTTAATTTTTATTTTTATTTTTACTGTTAATGGTTAATTTTATAAAATTTTTTAATGTGTTTCTCATTTTAAGTTATTTTTATTACATTTTTGGTTTTGAAGTTTATAAATTTCTAAACAAGTATAAACTTAGATTACCAAACATGTATGGCTTTAAGCAGATACATACAAAGATACGTATATTTAAATTTAATATAAGTTAAAGTTAATTAAGTATTTTTTGAAAAATTAATGCATATTTTCATAATTAATAATTATTTAAAATATTAAACGTTGAAATATCAGATATATGTAATTAAATTATAGATCTTCCATAGAAATGTAATGTAGAAATGTTTTTAAACTTTTAATACAGATGCAAATAGAACATTTGATTAATTGTAGTCTTATGCATATCTAGTCTTAACTTCCGCATAATTATAAATAAAATAAATCAAAATTAAGAATAAATAGTTTTAATACAATGCTCACTTGTACCCAACTTGCTCAATATTTGTTTAATTATATACATATTAATAAAATTACATACATATGTAGGTATTTTGAACAAAATATACTACACAAAACATGTACTTCCTATTTTTATTTACACTCATGTCTAGTGCTATTAATCAAAATTATTTAAAATTCACAAAAGAATTTTGGTTTTGTTTATTAAATAGTTGATATTAGAATTTTTAAACTATTAAAAAAATGTGCCCAAAATGCTTTTTTTCACATTTTCTGATGCCAAGTTTTACAGCACATTAAAATTTTAAAATATTTTAAATTCTAACACTAAAAACCTAAATAAAAAAACACACACTGTCTTGTGTGTGATTTTGTCATTTAATTTTTAGTGTGCCATAGTCAAGATCAAGTTCAAGATACATATTAAAAGGCAAATCTATCTATTTTTATATGTTGATCCCCAGCGATCAAAAAATTTCAACAAATATTTTTAATGCATCGCGTGCTTTTTGTCACCAGACGTCGTAGTACGTACAAGCACACAATGCAACCAAAATAGATTTTTAAAATTTTTTGGCAGTTAGAACGCTATAAAATTCCTATGTTCGAAAGAAAGTGCATTCCCTCTTGGCATAAATATTTTTGGGTTAAAGGTAATTAAAAAGATCTAATTAAGATTTTTATCTATTTTTTATATTTGTCTAAAAATTTTTAACGAAAATCTTTTGTCTAGTTTTGTTTTAAATTAAAAAGAGCAAGTATTTATTTGCTTGTTTAACTAGTCTGTTCATTACAAAAAAAAATACTATTTTGTTTGTCATTAATAGTGCAAATTACCTTTTTTCGAAGCGCCCCAAAGTATGCTTTAATTTGTGTTAACGTGGTACCATTTTATGCTATGAGGTTGCCAGATATTTTTACTGATTTTTTGCTTTCTAAAAAACCGTATAGCCGATTAATAGATGGCGCTATTTTCACACCATTATAGAGTTGCCGGACTTTAGAAAATAAAGTTACATTACTGATATCCACGATCTGGCAACTCTGCAACAATATAAAATTAGCGCCATCTATTGAGTGACCATATGCTTTTTGAAAATGCAAAAAAATGGAAAAAATAGGGTGGCAACTTTCTTAAGAAAAACATGAGGCCTTTAAATAACTTGAAGTATACTTATAGGCGTTTATTGTTAGAGCTGCCAGATAAATAAGTCAACCCGTAAAATAAAAAAACTCAAAATTTTTCACAAATTAACATTTAATAACAAGAGTATATAAAAACACATACTTGATTAATAAAAGTTAGTTTTTTTCTATGTAAATTTTATTAACTTTACAAGTGATTTAACATACCGATGTAATACATTTTTTAATACTTAAAGGACATTATTCATAACAATTTATTAAAGGTTTATAAAACAAAATTTGTTTCATATTCCTTTGATAAATGATTATGTTAGTTATGTTTATTTGAGACTTTTAAGATTTTAATATAAAAACTATAATTTTTTGTAATAAAGAGCTGCCGTTATACTTAGTATATTTTTTAATTACGCAATTTAAAAAACTCAAAGCATATCAAATAGTTTTCACTTAACATTCTAATTGAAAGGTTAAAAATGCAATAAAAATGCTTAAACATTTTAGTGCCAATTTTGTTCTAAACTTATACATCTTTAAGGCACTATTGTATTTTTATGTAAATTTGTATGCATTAAATGCCTATTATAAATTCCATTGGTAAAACTTACAATTATTCAGCCTTTTTTGCAATACCACACACTTGACCATAATGTTCCGGCTGTTCTAAGGAATCCACTATAAATTTGGCCAAATCATACTTAGATATAAGACGTCCAGGAGCCTCATCATGTAGTACAGTATAGGCAGAGGAAGGTTCATCTGCTATATGTGGTGGAAGTATAGCAATATATTCCAAATCCGATGCTTTTGTTAGATCCAACATACGTTGATGTTCCTCATTAAGACGATGAAACATAGCCGGTACCTCGGATACGGGACGTAATAGAAATGAAGACATAACAATAGAATATTTCGTAACATTTAATGCCTTCATTACTTTTATGAGATTGGCGGTGCCAGTTGAAAGTTCGGTGGTTGCCTCTAATTTATTACGTGTGCCCAAAATAACGCATACAGCATCTACACCTTCTACCACTTTTAAGCAGTCATCATAATTAGTAACATTGCCTTGCACCATATCTACTTTGCCCTTAAAACGTTCTGGTACCGTTTTTTCTGTGCGATACAACAAACGTACTTGAAGACCTATAATTTGCATATTAATATATAAATTTTTAGTTTAGTTTAAATTTATTTTAATATACAATTGCAGTAGTTTTACCTTTTTGTAATGCATAATCCACTACACATTGTCCGGTCATGCCGGTGCCACCAATTACTGCAATTCGTTGCATAATATTCTGTTAAATGTTACACAGGCAGACGACACTTGTCTTTTGACTTCGATTTATTGTATATTCTTGCTTTATGTTGCGTCTCCTATTCGATTCTAAAATTTCAAGTTCAAATACTTAATAATTCTATAATCAATCAACGCGGTAATAAACTTTTATTGTTAGACAAATAAATGTAATTTTTCAAGCAGAAATGTACAGACAAGGTTGTTTGCAATATTATTTGCCGTAGTTTGTTGCTTACCTTACAAAAGGCACGTAAATATTTAATACTTTTTCTCTCAATATGAGTTACTTGTTGCCAAATAATAAAAGAAATTTTGTTTATTTAATGTTCTGTAAAGAGATTACTTAAAATCCGTAATTAAATAAAAAAAAACTTGCGAAAGAACACCACCTCCACGAATAAATATTTTTTTGCAACTGAGGAAGCTTTGTAAGAGAGTTGCCAGTGTAAAAAAATAACATCAACATTTTCCCCGGGGCCCGAGGTAATTGACAGATTTCTATACTTATCAAAAGTGGAATTTTGTAATTTTTTAAGAAAAATTTTTTAAATTTTACTTTTTATTTAATGACAAAAATAAAAAAATTTAAATTCCACTTATTTTAACACCGTATTCAGTATCTTGGACTTAAATTATTTTAAAATTTCGTAAGAAAAACCTGACCCTGCCAGACAAAAAAAAATAAGAAAATGTATTTACAAATAAAAGGATATTAAATGAAAATACAATAAAATAAAATTAATATTATTAAGTTTATTTGTACTATATTTTTGTTAGTTAATTATTAAGTTAATAATAAGCTAACAAAATAGTACAAAAATTTATAAGTTAAAATTTGTTTAATATTTTTTGTTTTAACAAGTACTAAAATACAACGGTGTACACATTTTTACAGTCTGGCTATTACTAAAAGTATGCCTTGTTTTTAATGTCAAAGCCGCCGTTAAAATAAAAACATTATAGACGAAATTTTGTCACTATTCCTTAATTAAATGACACAATTTAAAATAATATTTTAAAATATGAATTTAAACGGAGAAGACTTGAATACTTCTGATGCTTGGTTATCAGATCAACTATTTGCGCAGTTAAAAGATCTGAATTCTGAATATAAAGACAAAAATACTCCAACTGACTTTTTGTTGAGTGAAACTTTTCAGAATTGTAGTAGTAGCATGCCATTATTAGATGGTTATGATGATATTCCATTGCAGGAATTAAAATCAACGCCACTGGATACGTTTGAATCAGAGCTGAATGTGAATAGTTTTTCCAATTCTTACGATATAAATGAAGAAGTTTTGGATTTAAGTCAAATGCCTTTAAAAGTCCCGGGCATAGATGTAACACAACCAGAAATGAACATAATTGATATTGTGGAAAATATTCCTTTAGTAACAGGCCCTGCTGTTGGTAATGTAGAAACATTTGTGAATGATGTTACTAAAAATGTGCCATTTGATGCCAACGAAGAGGTAATAAAAATTTTGAAATTTTTGGAAACACAACCAAATGAAGAAGTAATAGGTACGGTTATAATTTAACTATTTTAAATCATATTTTAATTACTTTCCTATTTCCAGAGGTTACTAATCCCCCGCCATTACTATTGCCATCGATGGCTACAAAGAAAGTAGTTAAATGTGCTAACTGCAATGGTATATTTAACATGGATGAATTCCAATCACACATTTGTGATTATGATGAAGATCATAATTTAATAACATCAAAAATAACAAATGTTTCCAACACCTTCAAGTCTGTAAAGGAAGAACCCATATTGCCAACAGAACCTGCTTGTATACGTTTACTAAAAGAAAATCAAATACGCATACGACGCTTTCTTAAGGACGAATTAAAATATGATGTCAATAGCTGTTTAAATGCATCTACCCCTTCTTCTAATGCTTCTGGCGCCAACCCATCTAATTCATCTTATTCATCAAATGTTTCCATAAACAGTAATAAGAAACAAGATGGCCCTCATGAATGTACCTTGTGTGAAAGGAAATTTGTTCATGCTTCCGGTTTATTACGTCATATGGAAAAACATGCTTTAGATTTAATACCCACTACCAACACTGCAACCAACAATAAAAATGTCTCTACACAAGGAGCACAGGGTGTAAACGGTTTACGAGTAGTCATTAAATGCACTTTGTGTGGTCGCATTTTCTTTGAATCAAATGAAGCTTTAAAACATTTGTATTCACATTTTCCCGATTCCATAGCTGATGAAAAGGAAATGGATAATTGTTCTGAAATACCTTACGATGCATATATTGATGATGCCTTGAATAATTTAAGATTTGAGGTATTTATGCAAGAAATTATTTTCGACAACGAATTCCGTTTTAATTCAGAAAAGAATGTAGGCAGCTCCTGTCAAATAAGTAAAACAATATTTTTTCGGAATTAAGATAATTTCGTTTTATAGAGTTAGATTTAAATTTGTTTACAATTATTGGTATTTCTTACTGTTTCAAGTGCCAAATAGACTATAAAAACGGTCCCTTAGTAAAAACTGCTCATTGTTTGTAACTTTAACCCCCATTATCTCAATATCTGGTTATATTTTATCGTAAGGTTAAATTGACAGTTTTCATACAAAATTAATTTTAACCGGTAGAATATCTACTGGTTAAACGATAACCGGAGTTGGTGTTAACGGGGGTAAGAAGTTAAAATAAAATCAATCGTAATCATAACTACCGAATTGAAATCGATTAGAATATTTCATATTGTTATATATATTATTATTAAATTAATTATAAAGTCTGACCTTTAGAACTGCAGATATTGGTTTATATGTTTTAAAATAATTTCTTTTTGTTTTAGGTTCAAGAAATATCTTTTTATAATTCTTCCATTTCTAACTATCAAGAGGACAAAACACCCCTTTATCTTAAAATTGTTATTTTAAGTTGTATTTTACAATGCGAATTTTGTGATCTAGTATTCTCCGAAGTATCCTATTTATTTGTGCACTCTGCATGTCATTTACCATTTAGAAGATTTGAATGTTTTGCATGCGATATCCATGTTAAAACATCGAAAGAAATCTGTACTCACTGGCAAGCAGAATGTGTTTTCATGCGTGAAAACTTAAAGGTTCATCGTGCCACTACTCAACGTTATTTTGTCTGTAATGTGTGTGAGAATAAATTTCAGTCCATGGATTTGCTACATGAACATCGGTAAGATTTTAGATATTATTGGATGAAAAAATACAAATATTAAATTAGTAATTTTAAAAATTCTTAAGTATTTTGGCAATGATTGTAAACATTTTAAAATACTTTCTATAATAACCGATTTTTAATTTGTTTTCTAGTTATACATCTTATCATTTCTTTCCCCGTTTGAACAAAACTACTGGTACATTGCAATTGCCCTGTGAATATTGTGAAAGTATTTTTGAAAATGCCCAAGAATGTGTAAACCACTATGAAGAGAAACATTATAGGAAATACAAACGTGATAAGGATGGTACTAGTGGATCTAGTAAGACCCGACAATATTTGTGTGATATATGTGGTAAATCTTATACCCAATCCAGCCATTTATGGCAACATTTGAGATTTCATCAAGGTACATTGTACTAATAAGTAAAAAAAAATACAAAAATAAATTTTATCACTTTTGTAGGTGTAAAACCATTTGCATGTAAAGAACCGGGATGTACTCGAAAATTTACTATACGTCCCGACTTAAATGATCACATACGTAAGTGTCATACCGGTGAAAGACCTTATCATTGTCTTGTATGTGGTAAGCGTTTCCTTACGGGCTCGGTTTTTTATCAACATCGTCTTATACACCGTGGCGAAAGACGTTATGAGTGTGAAGCTTGTGGTAAACGTTTTTATCGTGCTGACGCCTTAAAAAATCATCAACGTATTCATACGGGAGAAAAACCATTTGGTTGTCATTTTTGCACCAAAAACTTTAGACAACGTGGTGATCGTGACAAGCATATACGAGCACGACACTCTCACCTAGATGCCAATGCTCGTCTAATGATGCAAATGCATAAGTTACAGTTAGAAGCGGCAGCCGCTCAGGACCATGATGCGCAAAAACTGGAAATTGCAAGTAATTCTCAGGATTATATGACAGTCAGCCATGAAAATGTAACGACTCCCCTAGAGTATGATCCTACAAATTTTTCCTATGTTAGGAATAACAATAATTTAAATGATATTTTAATGATGGGTAATGTAGAGTTTTCCAAAAATGTTTTAGAGTCGATAATATCCGACATTATGGATTAAAAATATTTCTTATTTATTGAAAAATTTCCTATTTTCTGTAACAATAGTTACAATTTTATCAAACTGGAATAAAATGTTCGTTTAATACAAAACAGTATCTTTTACATTTGAAAATTATTAATGTTCGTTATTGAAAAATTAAAATTACAACAGATCCTATACACAATTCATGAACAAAAAAAAAAAAAAAAAAAAAAAAAAAAAAAATTAAAAAAATCTAGACGTAAACATTTTGAATTATTCATTAAGAAAATGCTAAGATTAAATTAGGAGGAAAAATGAAATGTTTTCACTCACACTTCCAAGAGTTTTTCGGAACAAGTAGGTATAAATCAAAATGTAAGAAATGAACTATGAGGGATAAACTCAATGAAAAGTGATGTGACGATATATAACTCCAAAGAAAAAAATTTATTAATTAATCCTTATTTTAATATAAACATTTTATTTAAATACATGCAATTTCGAGTATCTCGACTTTAATGACAAATTTTTTTTAAATCTAAAATATTATATTTAATTGTGATCATTATATGACCAAACGTAGCACACTGTTTGTTTAACACGTACTTCATGTAGAATTCCGATATGCCTAAGCATTATTAGACGATTTTGGTTCTTTTTATCCAACATTTTATTTAGTTTTCTAGTTACATCTCCAGGTGTTATAAAGCTACGTCCTAAGAATTTTGTATAAAAGGAATATAAAAAATTGGTATTTAATAAATACCAATTTTTTTTAAATATGTATATAGTAACTTACCAGGTAAATAGGAAGACTGCTCATTGTATAATTTCCACAATTCTATATCATTTAAATTTCTCAAGCAACTTCGTTCCTTGTGCATTAATTGATATTTCTCGTTAAAACAGGGTATAATAACTGTTTCCAAAAATGAATTTAACTGATCCAATGTTTCACGGCCACACATATACCTAGGAGAAAATTTACATTATAAACTAATTGGTTCGTTGCATTACTGTCGCTTGTACATGTAAATAATTACTTTGGAATTTTATCAAATTGTTGCTGCGTGATTGTGACATCAAATTCTTCGAATTGGAATATAGGATTGACTTTCTTTTTAATCATTGGTGACTGTTTATATTCATTGATTTTTATTTTAGGTGTTGCAGAAAGTACTTGACTTGGGTTTAATTTGGCTAAAAGATCCGTTTTTTTAACAGCGGATTTCGGAGCTGTACTATTAACTTTCATGGCGCTCCCACTAGATTTGACGCTACTAAGTATCAGTTGAACTTTCTTTTCCTCCTCTTCAGATTCTTTGATTTTTCTCCTCTTTTCTTTAATTACATAGTTCATGACCAACATTTGCTTCTTTCGCATTTCAGACATTACCTCGTTATAATCATTCTCTAAAGTATTAAATTCTTTTTGCAATAGCTCATGAGATTTTGTCATTAGATCCCGAACAATAATTGCGTCTGAGACAAGTTTTTCCAGCTCTTTGGATACTTTATCTCTTCTCAAACTTAGTGCTATAAAATTATTTAATTTTGAGATTTTTGTTTCTATCAGTTTTATCTGTTCTTGTATATCTTCCATATTTTAAGTTTTTATTTCTTAATAAAAAAAATGTTTTAAACGAAAATTAAATCAATTTATTTTGCGCTTTTCCCCACAACCCTGCGACGACAAACACTAACGTCGGCGGCGGCAGACGCTAAAAATTTCGACGGCAGCAAGGTGTACTGCCATGGACGACAGCTTGAAATCATTTTTAAGTTGTGTTTTGAAACGTTATTATAAAAAAATATAATTCGAGTGATTAAAAAGTGGGATTCTGATGATAATATTTGATTACCATATTTTTAGATAAATCTCAAACACACTAGATAAATTAAATTAAAGTTCTCCGAAACCTTTCTTTTGCACTACGTAGCATCTGAAATATGTTTAATAATATAACAATAATTAAGTTTAATTCGAAAGTTAATTCGTACCTTTGATATTTGTGGACCAATTCCGATGGTGTTAAATAAGCAGTTATGATAAGCTAATTTGGAATTTGGATCCTGTAAATATTTGGGATCTTCAGAAAATTGTTTTGCTATTAATAGTTCAATAATCTGAATATCAAGCATTTTTACTTTCCTTGTATGTAGCAACCAAACCGCAATTTGTATATTGTATTAATTGCATTAATTTTTCATATAAAAAAAAAAATTATTTTAGAAAAAAGTTTTAGAAATTACAAAATTTATAAAAAAATTATATAAAAATAGTTCCTATTATTTTGTATTGCGATAACAATGAATAGAAACATACAAAATTAGGTATAATTAAACTCTAATACATATTTTACTTTTTTATTTATTTGTTTATTATAAAATAAAATTTGTTGTTATTATGTATAAATTAAATGAGTTGAATACAAATATGCCATAACAAATATTTGCTTGACATTAACATAATAAGGTACGAAATAATTTTAATACGAAAATAGACAAGCATGTTATTTTTAGTACTCTTTCTATACAACTATGTAAATATTATATCTCAACGGATGGCAGCCATCTTTTCTTTCTTTTGCTTTTACGAAGTTAAGTAGCCAACATGGGTTTTGCTAATCTTTGGTATTCGCATCCACGTAAATACGGCCAAGGCTCCAGATGCTGGTAAATATCAATTCTCCATTAAAATCCCTGTAAAATGATATATAAATGTTATGAATGCCGATTCCAAAAAATTTGAAAAATCCTAAAAAAAATGTTAGAAAAAAAGAAAGTGAGGTTATGTTTGGTACACAAATGTGTGTCTTGTATGCCTCAAATATTTTTCACTCATAATATTTATGCATCATTATTTTATATTAAAAAAAAGAAAAAGTAATACAAGCCCCCGGTTGAGTACGGAATTTGTGGTAAAATTATGTTGCAAATTCCTTAATTGAGGGTGGCAACAAAAAATTTCTGTAATTGCCGTCACAGTCTGAAATCAAGCATGTGCGATGATTTCATTTATTGGCGATGAGAAAGACAATTTAATTTAATTTCTAAAATCTTTTAAGAAATTTACTTGGAACGACATTAATTGACAAATAATTTATCTTAAAAAATTTTAGCCGTGCCTGCTCTAACCGTCATGGTTTGATCCGCAAATATGGCTTGAACATTTGCCGTCAATGCTTCAGAGAATACGCCAATGATATTGGCTTCAAGAAGGTAAGATTACTTGTAAAACATACATTTTTGAAAAATATAGTAATTTATTTTTGCTTTCATTTACAGTTGGATTAAATTCCTCCTTTTTGATGATGCCCACACCCCTGTGATTGACCTTTGAATGTTTCTGTAAAGCAATTTTGTTTACTGAAATTGATGGAATTGTTACCATCTGGAAGCAGGCTTTGCTACTTCAGGGGTTGTGTACTTTTTTCCTCATATTGTTGGAGAATCTCTTATTTGAGCTATCCAATGGTTAAATAAAAGTTTTTTTAATTTAAAAAATTTTGGTCTTTTTTATTTGAATCAAATAGTAAATTAAAAAGTGAATTTTTGCATATTTTTTTTATTAATATTGGCTTAGTGCAAGTTGTCAAGATACTGTGATGTGGTAACTAACTTCCTGTTAATGAAAACACTGGGTACATACATATATCAACAGTTGCATTTAGTCTATGTTGCAACAGTTTTATAGGCCTATTTTGGCTTATCCGTTGATGTATGTATGGTAACTCGTTGCATGATGCAGATGTTAAAAATGTATATGTATGTATGTGGTAAATTTTGATCAAAAGCTAAACATGTTTAATCGATTTGTAGGTTGATAAAGTAACAAAAAGATAGAGTTTCGGTTTACATTATTTTATATGATGTCGTTGCAATACATTGGTTTTATATACATACATAGGTAATAAAGTAACGTTTTTTGGTTTTCGTTATTCCGATATTCGCTTATGCAGGTTTTTTTAGTACCTCCATCGAGAGAATCCAACTTTTTTTGAAGTCCATTTTTTGTTGGGTTTTAAAAAATGTGGCCTATTGCAGTTTGTAGATCTAGATGTGTATATAACTATAATAACAGTTATTCAAAACGGATTTTTATTTGTTGTTGGACTTAAAAATGCAAATAAAAAGACAAACTCTTCTATTATTTAACAAGTATATATAGTTCTATATTCTGTACGAAAATAAGTGAGTTATTAAAAGCTGAGTCCATTTTTGACCGACACTTTATTTACGCTTTATTAACAAATTTTTGACTTAATTTTTCTTTTGGTAAAATTTCTTTCATTGATTTGTCGTCGAACTTAAAAAAGCGAATAAACTCTTTTATTATTTAAAAGTCTACACAATTCTGTATTCTGTACGTAAATGAGTAACAAAGGTAATTTTTATTATTCTTTTTTTGGTAAATTTTCTTTCACTAAAAATGATATATCGTTTCTTCCCAATGAGTTAATATTGGGAATGATAAGATTTTTATTTCAAAATAAAAAAACAATAAAATTTCCATCTCTAAGTCCTAAATACATATGGTCGCATTAAACGCTATCGGCCATATATAAAACTTTTTAAATCAAAAATCAAGCAAAAATCAGGCAAAACCCCACTCTGAATTCAAAAACAGACTAATAATAAACCTTATACCTGTAATTTAATCAAAATTTCGGATTTCATGAACGTAAGTTTTTATGTTAAAAGTAAGTCGCAATTTTTAATATAATTTGATCAAATTTGGCATATATTCTTCACTGGATCCCGTTGAAAATGGTTGAAATCGGTCCATTATTTCACTTAGCCTCCACCATATATGGCTTTTGAGCTCATATTTATGTTAAATATATACTTGTATCTGGCCCAAAATCGCAAACGGACCTATATAAAATTTTTTAAATTTTACAAGAGAAGAAAAAAAACTATATAAATTGGAAAGTTTGTTTCTATAATATTTAAATGTTTTTGTAGATAGGGCCTTTTGTTTTTTGTATACATCAGAATCAACAATAAAATCGATTTTGAATTTTAGGTTAGTTAGGCCGTTTGCGTTTCAGGTGATGATTTGTATATCTAATGTATTGCATCAAAACAAATGTCCACACGAATTGGACTCCTACGACCAACATTATCGATTTTATTGACAAAAAACAAAAGGCCCTATCTACAAATGCATTTGAATATTGAAGGTAAAAAGTCCAATTTATCCATTTTTATATAAGCCACTGTCAACTATGATAACAAATGATAGGTTTCACTATTAAATAATTTGTTTATTTACTACAAATAAATCACGTTGATAAAAACAAACTTTTCAATTAAAATAGTTTTTTGCTTTTCCTGTAAAATTTTAAAAATGTTAGATAGGGCCGTTTGCGTTTTAGGTGACGAAATACATGTTTGGGAAAATTTTTCCAAATTTTGAAATTTTAAAACCATTAAAATTAAAACTTATCGAATTTCAATTTCAAATTAAGAATTTTATACTTTGTTAAGAATATTTGTAATTTTTGTAAATTTTGAACTAGAAACGGTATTTTTTTAATTTAAATTTTTGTAAAAAATCATATCTTTGGCAATTCATTTTATTTGGTAGAAAATTTATTTTTTAAATAGTAGAAGAGTTTGTCTTTCTACACAAGTTTAAATTTTGAAGATTATTTAACACAATTTGGTATAGGTACATATAGTATTAAATTTTTGGTACTTCTAATCAATGAACTAAAAAACTTCGTCTATATTAGTAAGTTTGTTGTCTCAGGTTTAAGAAAATATAAATTTTTATAAAAAATCCAAATTTGGCAAAAGCCATTTTTGAAACGTATTCCAAAAGTTAACATCTATCACATATACAGGGCCGCCTTTCGAAATTCATTTTGAATGGAAAACACATGATTAGTCGGTGCATATACATGCATATTTACATACAGTGTCTCTCATAATTATTCGAATTTGGGTAAACTATAAAAAGAAACCATGTTTAATAATATATTTTGTGTGCAAAATAAATAAATTAATTTGTTATATTGTCTAGATAGTCGTTATGTTTGATATCACGCTTTTTAAAACTTGAAAAATTTGCATTGACTTAAATTAATTATGGATTTTTAAAAAAAAGTCCATGAAATTGCCTCTCAAAAGTATACGAATTTTTCCTGTATTTCATATTTGATCATATTATACGCAAAACAAATTTTAGAATCGAATGGTTTTTATGCGTAATATTGTTTTAAGGGGTTACTATCCATGGAAAGGATATATTTTTGGACCATTTGGTCCACAATTTTGGGGAATTTGTACCTTTTTTCAAGTAATATCATTAAAATGGCGATTTTTGGCCATAATTGTAAATTTTTCTCCTTATTTCCAGAGATAAAACAAAAATTTGATATTGGGACTTATAAGACCCCTTGAGGTATATAAAAATAATATTTTTTGTTACAAGAATCTGTATTTAAACGTTCCAAGATAAATTATTTGGATCATTCTTCTGTCGCTAATTCAATATATTGGAACTTAAGTCCATTTTTATAATACTAGGATCAACTATTTTCGGGGAAGTTTTCTGGTATATATTCTTTTAGATATCAGCTTTTATACATTTTAAGTTTTCAATGTGTTGTGGAAGTGTACAACTCCAAAACATGCCTCGAAGAAATACCATTCAAAATAGTAAAATCATTATTTTTAGATACCAATGGCCTCCATGCTGCATGGCACGATATCATTATGATCTAACTCAAAAATATTGATATATGTTTAAATATTATTTACTATGATCAAATTAAAACCAAAATTTTGGACTTACAGTGTTATTGTAACGGGCAACATAAGCGTGAAAGTTACGAGTAGTAAAAACTGAAATCTACTATATAGGATGACGTTTTATTAAGGCATGTTTTGGGGTTGTATACCGCTATAATATATTGAAAATTTAAAATATATTAGTGCCAATATGTACATGAATATACACTAGACAACTTTGTCGGAAAATATCGTCCCTAGAGAAACGAAAAGGGACTTATGATCCAGATAATTCAATTAGAAACTGAAAAACGATACCAAAAATACATCTTGGAACGTTTAAGTACAGATCCTTATAACAAAAAATATTATTTTTAGATACCCTATGGGTTCTATTAAATTCCAATATTAAATTTTAGTTTTATCTCTGGAAAAAGGGTGAAAACATTACAAATATAGCCAAAAATCGCCATTTTAATGATATTACATGAGAAGAGGGTACAAATCCCCCAAAATTGTGGACCAAATAGGTCAAAAATATATCCATGCGGTTGATAGTTACCCTTAAAACAATATTAAGCATAAAATCATGCGATTCTAGAATTTGTGTATCGTATAATATGATCAAATATGAAATACAGGAAAAATTCGTATACTTTTGTGAAGTAGTTTCATGGACTTTTTTTAAAAAAAGCACAACTAATTTAAGTAAATGTAAAGTTTTCAAGTTTTAAGGGGCGTGATATCAAATCTAAGGACTATCTAGACAATATAACAAATTAATTTATTTATTTTCCACACAAAATATATTATTAAATTTGGTTTTTTTCATAGTTTACCTAAATTCGAATACTTATGAGAGACACTGTATGTATAAGATGTTATGATTGTAAAATACATGTACATATATTTGGATGTACATACTTCAATTTACAAACAAATATTTAAGAATATATGAAACTTTATTTCATAATTTTTATGAAAATTATTATGTTATTAGTAAATTAACTACAAAAATAAATAAAAACCATATTACCACCAAAAGTTACTAAATAAAAGTTGTACTGAAAACTACCTACTTAAAATATATCTTTAATATGAAATTTAACGTAAAAATATTAAAGTTTAGGTTAGTACATTATAATAAAGTCCAATGCTTAAGTCACTATTAACACTCGATGAAGTGGATGAATAGAAGACACCGCTAAAATCAGGTTTATTTTAACTATTTATATGACTTACTGACTATTGCTCGTAAATGGTCTTGAGTATTTTAAAAAGTTTGCACTTTAAACTTCAATAGAGTAGAGTAGTAAGTAAGTAGTACATCATAGAGAGACAAAGAGAATTTCGATGAATAAATATGTACATATTTTTGAGCGTTGGTTGTTTAGATTTTTGAATGCATTACACACGGAATGGCATTTTAAAACTTATGGCCAAACTGCGAATCTGCACACTTCAAAGCGAGCTGTTGGGAGTTGAAATCGAATAACAGTCAGCTGTGTAACTTCGACGGTTGAGCACGCGCACTCCACTCCGTTTAATAGAAAATCAACAGGTGAATTTTAATCGTTATTGTTGCTGTGTGAATGCAAATATGGACTCGTATAGTGCAAAATAAAAGAAAGAAAAAAAAAAAAAAAAATAAACAAATAATACAAATGAATACTAACTAGATCAAACAACTTCTTATACTGTTCACAATTTTTGTTTTTATTTCAAGTCTCATTAATTATAACAAAATTTACCATAAAAGCGTTAAAAGAGATCAACAAACTTAGTAGATTGTTAAAAAATCTATTTACGAATATAAAAATAAAAACTTTGAATGTTAAATAAATGTTAAAAGCAAGATAAAATATACTTACAAATTTATAGTGTTTAATCAATAGCTTTAAGGTCAAACTGACCTACATAAGAAACTTTACAAATACAAAAGTTGTGTTTATAGTAGTAATAATTTTTAACTAAACAAAATTAATGTTTTTATAAAAAATTTTTGGCCAAAAATTTTACTATTTTGAAATGCATATTTTAAAAATAAGATATTTTTGCAGGCAGTTTTGTTCAAAATAGTGGAGAAATTTTATTAAGAATTTGATGTCTTAATGACTTAATGTTCTTTGGAATAATTGGAACATATTTATATTACATTTTTGTTTCAACGAGATATAAAACACAAAAATCGGTAAAACATTGGAAAGTTATTACAATTCCTCAAAAGAAGAAATATTAAAAAAAAATTAACATATTTTGGAAAATATTCTAATAAAACGATGTCAATATAATAAATATATTAGCATTAACTTAAATGTGAGTTTATATCTTCATTTGTTGTATAGTCCTAAATGGGAAACCCTTCAAAACTTTAGTTTCAAACTTTCAACAATTTTATTAAGCAAATTTTAAAATTTTGAGAAAATCTTCATGTGACATATGGACAATAAAGAAGTAAAGAAAATAGTAAAGAAATTAGGTCGATATCTCCCATAGATTAGCGGTACCTTCGCGTTGAATTTTGAGAATTTCAGAGAAAACTGTTTTAACTCATAAACTGTGAATTTTGGGAATTTTTCTTGAGACCATAGTGAAATATTTTTCCAACCGATTTAAATGAAACTTGAGAAAACATATATAAAAAACATATAAATTTTATAAAGTAACTAATTTCAAATTTAAATTAATAACAGATTCATGTGTTGATAAAAACTAAAAAAAAACTATGAAACTCTATAAAAGTTGGTTGTTGCCAGCAACATGTACCATCATTTTAGTTGTAACAACTTATGCAACATCAACAGAGGCAGCTAAACAAAAACAAGCGGAAGTGAATTTACAACAAGTTGCTGCTACTGCAGCTCCTTCAAGAGCATTAAAATATGGTGATAAGACAACTAAAAAACTACCAAATCAGGAAATACATTTGCTCCCCACATCTCCTACCTTAGTAGATAAACACATTTCCTCAAAACGGCCACGTTCCAGAGTAGAACGTATAGAATTGCCAACAAATCGAGCAAATGCACAAATATCCAGACGTTATGAAAGTGGATCACAACAAAATAAATTGATTGTGGAACACGATATACCAATTGTTCATAAAAGTCAGGAATTATTTAATAAGCCAATAACCCCAACAGCAGCGGGTCAACAACGGAATGCAATTTCCAATCGATCACGTTCTGCAAATACTCTCACAAAAACTCAACAGCAACTGCAACCCACACAATATTCCAATTTAAATGATCAAGTCGATAAAAGTATTACAACAACAAGAGTAATACACAATAGTCGTCAACATAAACCAACAACGACAACAACAACTTCACGTACTATACCATCAATAAATAATAATAACCAGCCCCCTTTATCATCACGTAATGCAAATGTTCAAACTCATCACTCAACGAGCAGCAGCAACTCAACATTTGTTAGTCATCATCATCATCATCGCGGCAACCCAAACAAAAACAATAACAATTTTAATAGCAAGTCTCAGCCATTGTTAGCTTCTTCCAATGCTGTCGCTATTACTAGTGGTGGTGGTGGCGATGGTCGTCTACATTCAAATATTGAAACTAGTTCAAAACGACAAAGAGGTAATGTAACAGAGAATCAAAATATTAGTAATGGCAATATTACGAGTAATCGTTTAAATATTCGAAAGTTTACATCAACATCCACAACATCACCATCAACCATCACTATCATCTCACCAACATCTACAACTACAACTAGTAAGTTGTTTTTGGTTTCATGTCATTCATAGAATATTTATCATAAGTGCTATAATTTATACCCTTTACAACTACTAGAAGTCGTAAAGATTTCATATTTTTTCGCAACGGATAATGAATCCACACACCCAACTTTTTGTATTGCAAAAATGTATAATAATATATTTATAAAAATTGAAAATTTTATTGTAAATTTTTATAAATTAATATTGTAATTCGTTTTGAGTATTTTAATAATTTTATAATTCACTTAATTTTATAATTTCTTAATTACTTTAACTTAATTTTGAATTGATTTAAAATTAGTTTTGCAAACAACTAAGTCATACATACATATGTACATATGTATGTACATAAGGATAAAACCATAATTAGGTAGCTAATAGTGTTCTAATATCAAAAACCGGTTTCTCGGGTCATTTTGATTTTCTAAAACCATTTTAAAAATTTACATGAATTTTTAATAGTATATTTAATTTACATGTTTTGGCACTAAAATTGGAAGAGGGTACAACCGCAGCCCCTGTCTTTACTTTTGCACCGTATAAATGTGCTGGATCAAACAATGACACCAAACAATTTCAAATTTTGTTAGAGTAAACATTGAAAACTTTAGAGCATTTGCGGCGTAAACTTTTGTAACGCTCGATAAAAAGTCATATATTTTTTCGACTTACTTTTTTATACTTTATGTGGAATGAGTAGGGCCGATTTGGAATTTTCATTTACTATACACATTTTCCTAAACGCCTAATAATTTTGAATAAAATAGCCAAGAATTTTTTAGTTTACCTCCATGTTAAAGTTGCAAGATTGTGACGTAGAAGGTTTTAAATAACTTTTCCATTCTTAACAAGTATGTATGTATAGTCGGGCATGAGCGACTATATGATACTCTACACCAGTAGGTATGTTAAAAATGTGGATTATTTTTTTAATAATGAAGCATTTAATTTGATTTTTACCCTAATTCCGGATTATTTTTAGTTATTGTTGATAAAGAGAAAGAGATTTTCTACAAGAGGGTTGTGGCCTCCGGTGGGTTAGTGTTCTAGTCTGGTAGACCGGAGGTGGTGGGTTCGATTCCCACCTGAGGTACTGGTTAAGGAGCGCACAACAGACCCGATAGTGGCCTAGGTGTATTTCTTCGGATTTGATTTGATGGGGTAAATTTATAATATCCTTATAAATTTTGAAAGAGGAATTTACGTCTACATCAAAGTTATATATGTGTTATTAGTGTTTATAAGTGAATTCTGACTCTCAATTCATTTTCTGAAGGGGAGTTTGTATGGGGGCTAGGGTTACATGAGGCGCGATCATTACAAGAAACGGCAGCGTCATTTAAACTTCTATAAAACTAAGTTTTGTTGACATACTAGAACATCTAACATAATTATGAGCTCAAGAGGCCTATCCAGGGAGTACGGTTGTATGGGGGCTAGGCGAAATAATGGACCGATTTCAACCAGAAAGTACTGAGCCGATTGGTATACTTTAAGATGGGTGTAGGGCCAATATTTTTTGGGTCATCACAAACTCACAACACTCCCGACTATAGTGGTGTAGGGTATAAAAAGGATATACATACATACATATTTTAAACTTTATTAACATTTTTATACCCTTCACCTTCGTGAGAAGGGTATATACATATAAGTTTGTCATTCCGTTTGCAATTTCCAAAATAAAATTTTCCGACCCCATAAAGTATATATATTCTGAATCCTTATAGATAGCTAGTCTGTCTATCTGTTGAAATCAGTTTTCTGAAGACCCCAGATATCTTCGGGATCCAAATCTTCAATAATTCTATCAGACATGCTTTCGAGAAGTTTCCTATTTAAAATCAGCAAAATCCGTTCATAAACAACGGACATATAAGCAAAAATGCGAGACAACCTCTGAAAATTTCATAAAAAATAAACAACAACAACACTGCTTATTCATTGTCTTTGTATTTTGTTTTTGTTTTTTTGAGTATTTCGTTTCGTATGTTTGGATGACAGTGTGTTTCATAGCCTTGTGTATATTGTTGTTGTTTCTTGGTACATTCAATTTCGTATGTTTGGATGACTGTGTGTATCATTGCCTTGTGTATATTGTTTTTGTTTTCTTGGTGTATTGAATTTCGTATGTTTGGATGTCTTTTTGGTTTCATTGCGTTGTGTATTTTTTTTTTTGTTTTTTTCTGTATTTCGTTTCGTATGTTTGGATGTCTGTTGGTTTTACTGCCTTGTGTATTTTTTTGTGTGTTTATTTCGTTTAGCGTTGTTGTTGTTCATTATGTTTTGCTATTGCTATAATAATGATATAGTCGGAAAAATGAAGTTTTAAATACACTATGGTGAAGGGTATGTATGATTCGGCACAGCCGAATATAGCACTCTTACTTGTTAAATGTAGGCTTTTATTTTATGAAATTTTTTCGATTTTAACTTAATTATATTATACTCGAATTGTTGCGGTTATCGTAACAGGTTCAAAATTCAGTAATAAGTTTTGAAAAAAACTAACAGAGCAAGTTAATTAAATGCTTGTAATGAAAACATCACAGTAAGTTTTCTTTTCATTTTATAATTTTTTCAAGTCCATATCTATAATAATTTGAAATTGCATAATTATGCGACAAATTTATGTAATAATTTCAAATGTTAATATAATAGTATACATATTGTGCAAAAAAATGTATGCATTTTCTAATTATGTACATAATTCTTTCCGCCTTTTATTTATGTGAAACCATATAACGTAAATAAATCAAATTTCCAAAACAAAAATATTCTCTATTATTTATCATTTTTGTGTTTGTTTACAAAAGCTGTTTTTGTACTATTTCGAAAAAATGAAACAATAAAAAATAAATAAATAATTAAACAAAATATATGAAAAAGAGAATGGTAAAATATGAGGAGGCCTACATGAAAGTGTATTACTTTTTTTACGTTCTATTAACTAAACGACTGCGATATAAACATTACAAACATTCAAAATAAAATTAAATTTAATTATTAAGTTGTATTAAATAATCAACTGGTTAGAGTTTAAATAAAGCATTCAAACCGTTCATTCAAGTTTTGTAATTTAGTTAGACATAATTTAAGCAGGCATTTAGTATTTTTATTGAAGAAAAAAAATAATAATAATGGTGGTAATAATAATAATCGTCTTAAAAAATGTATGAGCCGGTACCACTGTCTGTAAGTTAGGCCAATGTCATTTACATTTTAAAAAATTCATTGTGTTTTTTTTTTTGTAAACGATTTTCAAGCGCGAATATTTTTGTGACTGTGTCTAGTTGTGCACTTTAACGTATTCTTGCTCAATTCACAAGATTTTGATTTTTATCCATTGACATAACAGATTTGTTCTGGCCACAATGCTCTTGGCTTTGTCTGTTGTTTTAACCATTTATGCATTTGTTTGTTGTTCGTGTATGGAACGTACAAGTTTGTGTTTTACAACCGACTCATGACCACTTAAATTTTTGATATAACCATTTTTAAAGGTAAACAACTTTTATTGTTGTTATGCTGTTTTGTTATTGTATTGCTTGTAAAAGTGCATCTATCATGAAACATGAAACAGGCATCTATCATGAAACATGAAACAGGAGGTGCGTCTTAAAGCACAGTCACTTAAACAATTAAACAAACAGTTAGTAGTTGTCTTTATAAACCTCAATTCAGCCATAATAATATACATTAAAGTTTAATGTTCAAATTTATTGAACATTTGTGTTGCTTTGACAAAAGGTTGTAAAATGTTTATAGTTATTACTATTTGGAACATGTTGATTATATAAAGTGGATCCATTTCTTCGAAAACTTGTAGGTAATCTTTGCTAACTTATGCATAGTTTGCAAAAACCAGTTTCAAGGAGTAGTAATTAACATATTAAAGGGACCTGGTAATTTAAATGACATTGTCCTAGTACAAATTATAAAATTTTATATGATTATCAGATTTTCGTAATAAGATCTTTTTCATATCTCTATATATGAGTCAATAATTGACCGTACTCGTCAGTTTTCGAGAGAGTCATAAATTTCTAATGAAAATTATTTGTATTAAGTTTCTTTTAATAATACAATTTATAAACGATTGATTGAGGGTTTATGTAGGGGTTAAGGTCAAATATGGACCAATCCTTATAAAGATTGGTTCATAAAAAGTTCGTATAAATTTTTTTCACCCATTTGTATTTTAAAGAACGGATTTTGCCTTCCATTTGGGTTATATCGTTTTTCAATAGAGAGATATAGCGAGTTCGTCTTATAATCATTTGTGGTTGAGGGACCAATATTTTGATGTGGGTGTAAAAATAGTTTAACTATGAAAGTTTCAAAACTATTATTATTTCACATTTGGAACAAAGTTCCCAAAAAAGAGAAATACATAACAATGTTAAACTCGTTCATTGTCGTTTTTATTAAAAAAATACAACAAAAAAATTTATTACGAACATTTATGGCAGTAACTGTACTATATATTTAACATTTTTTCAATATGGTATTGATTTTTAATACATTTACATACATACATACATTCTCTATGGATACAGATTTAAATATTGAAACTAGTTCAAGTTCATCAGCATTATTTTTAAGATTTTTTTTTATAAGAATAAGAATTTTTAAGTATATTAATATATGCAAAATATAATAATAACGATTTTGGCCTTGGCTTTCTTGCATTTGGATAAATGATTTATTCAGGATCCAACAAATAATATTTTATGTAGACTGAATAAAAAACGGCTAATGATATAATAATTTCAGTTATTTACATTAAATAAATTTAGATAAAAATGTAAAAAAATTAAATTTTTTCCGAAAATTTTAAAAATTTTCAATATTTTTGATACATCATTTGAAACGCCTTTTATATGATATCAAAAATTTAAATTAAATATTGATCCCAAGATTAAAATTTTGACAAGGAAGGTTGGCAAATAGAAATTTCAAATTGTACAAATCTGCATTAAAAATTATACTTTTTGATTACAATTGTACCAAATACAATTCAAATTAACAGTTCATTTGTATTAGCCCATATATTAGTCTAGACTAATAGTCTAATAGGTCCTCAGATTGGTCAATGGACTAGAAAGTATATTGCCTTCATATAGACTAGACAATAGAGTAGTCTATAAACTAGATATAGGATAGTCTATCGACTAGACTCTAAAGACTAGATAATATATAGGATAGGAATAATCCAAAGACTAGTCCCTAGACTAATTAATAGTAATTATACTATTTCCATTCGCTTTCACATTAATTATTCGCTTTCGCATTTTCATTCGCTAAACTGGCATTCGCAACATCCATAACTTATAGATTACATCATAGAAAAGTCATTAGATTAGTCTAAAGTCTAGTAAAAAGTACTTTAAACGTCGATTCAAAAGATCATTAAAATTGTTTAAAATTTTCGCTTTCACATAAAAAAGAAATCCTAGAGAAGTACTCTCACTGTTAAAAGATATTATTGCTCACCTGGCTGAAATCTCTTCCATGTTTCTTAACAATTTTAGAGAATATAAATAATAATTGTATATTTCCTTTTCTGAAGTTTAGTAGATTATTTTACCGAAATTTGTGTCAGAAGTACCATTTCATTATTTCAATAAGGAAATAAAATTAAAATTGTACAAAATGGCTCATTGGTGTACTTTTGAGGATTGAATAGTACCAAAAAAGTACAATTGTATCAATATTGCCAACCCTGATAAGCGGTATATTAAAATGAACCAAAAACCTTATTTTTTTCATACCAACGGGGCCACCCTAATTAAAATATATCGGTAGTTCATTTAAGGTTCAAAATTTTTTTCAGGAATAAAGTCTCGGCCTGAGTTCAAGAGATTTAAATCAAACATTGCGTAAAAATTATACGCAAAATATAGAAATATATTATTAAATATATAAGTATCTCAATTCAAGAGCATTCAATCTATAATGATTATACATTAAAATCAAAAGAAGCTAAAAAATAAGTTTTTGCAGAGCATTGTATACATATATCATAAATTTAACCTTGACAAAGTTACTGTTAAGGTTAAATTAAAAATCTCTAACTTCTGTATTCATAAACGCTTAATACTCTTATTGATGGTTTATTATAAGAATTCTATAGAAAAATGTGCTTAATAAAACAAAAATAAACGATTAATAGCTTTATTAATAAGGGGGGAAGAGTTTTAATGATGATTTCAATTTATTTTAAAATAATTGCAGAGGATCACAGAGTATAAGACTGTAATGGACAATATTGGAAATTAAAAATTATGTATTTTAAATTTTGTAATCCTAATTTATAACTACAAATTTATACATATATTAAAGAAGTAATAGTTGATAATCTATAACAAACCTAAGGGGGGAAAAATTATTATAAAAATTTAAGTATAAAATTTTGATTTTATCAATTTAACTCAATTTAATAAAAAAATCTAATGGAAAATAATTCTTAAAATTATATAAAATTTCATAAAATTAGTTTTACGTCTTCTTTTGTCAAATTAGCATTAATTCTTTCGTAATTTTTTTTATTTTTTTTTTACTTTACAAATTTTTAATAAAACAATACACTTTATAGCCAATGAAGACAAAATTTTTAAAAATTATATAAAAGCAATTGAAAATTAAAAACAAAATATTTTTTCAAACTTAATGTAATTTGAATCTTTTGGGTAAATGAACCCTATGTTATGTAAATTTGAATGTACATATATTCTAAAACACGTTTATTCACATTCACTAACTATAATGAGAATTAGTATGTCAAAAGTGCAAAAGATTGTCACGTCATTTAAAAAAAAACTTCCTTATTTTTTGTTTCTTCGTAATACAAACTAAATTTGAACATGACGATAAAAACATTCACATTTAAAACATTTCGACCTGATGATCATGAACTTCATATACTTAATAATATACACCTGCTTAAAAATAATTAATTAAATTTTGTTACATGCAAAAATGCGAGCAAATAAATACAAACATGTTTAGTATTATGTACTTTGTTATAGAAAAGCGTTTTTTTTTTTGTGAATCACCGACATTAAAACTTTGGTAGATTTTGGACGTCAGCTCAACATTTATTTGCAAATTTACAAGTGTGCGAGTATTGAACATTAAATTCAAATACTTAAAATTATAAGCATGAAGTTAAACGAACTATGACTTGACTTAATGTGCATCATAGAGTTATAGATATACCAACCGAACCAATATTATAAAAACATTCAGTATTTATACCCTACACCACTATAATGGAGAGGGTATTATGCGTTTGTGCTAATGTTTGTAACACTCAAAAATATTGGTGATACACCCACCATAAAGTATATCAATCGCACTCAGAATCACTTTCTGAATCTTTTTAGAGATATCCGTCCGTCTGCCGGTCTGTGTGTGGATGTAAAGCTTGTGCGGACGCTACAGGTCGCAATTTTCTAGATTATATGATGAAATTTGGCACATATTCTTCTTTTTACCCAACGAATGCTATTGAAAATGACTTCAAGACCAAAATTCACTTATAAACACTAATAACAATGTGGACGTAAATTTTTCTACCAACATTTATGAGGATAGGCCCATATTTACCCTCAACCCATATAAGCCCTCTTGTAGAAAATCTCTCATATTCTTCTTTTTACCCAACGAATGCTATTGAAAATGACTTGAAGGCCAAAATTCACTTATAAACACTAATAACAATGTGGACGTAAATTTCTCTACCAACATTTATGAGGATATGCCCATATTTACCCTCACCGCCATATGAGACCTCTTGTAGAAAGTCTCTTTTTTGTCAACAATAAGTCAAAATATTCCGGAATTAAGGTAAAAATCAAATTTAATGCTTTATTATTTAAAAAATAATCCAAATTTTTTACATACTAACTTTTATAGGGTATCACATGGTCGTCCATGCTCGACTATACATTCATACTTGTTTCTGTTTTTTAATTTTTAACATCTTTTTGCTAAATATTCAAGTATTAACCAACCAACTCTACCCACTGTGTGAACTTATTTGGTCCACTTACATCAAAATTATCTAAAGTTTATGCATTCTATTGTTAGATTAAAATACATATACAGTGGAAATAGGTGTGAAATACTATAGTATATGTGTTGGTAATTGCATTATTATTGCATAATTATTTATGTCAGTGTTTTATTTCTGCAAGAAACCACGATCTGGTGTTAAGATTTCAAAAAAAAAAAAACTTCAACAAAATTTTATCATGAAACAATAAAAATTGTGTAAAATGTTGTTATTGTTTTAAAAATTATAATCTCAACTCTTGTTTTTGTCTTTTTTATTAATGAATGTTATTTTTTTTTAGATTGTAATTTATTCATAAATACAATTATTTTTAATTTAATTTAAAATTTACCATTTAAATACTGTTTATAAAGTACGTTTTCAATGTGTACATACACATAGTAATTTGGTTAAAACAGATATTTTGTAAAGCATTTAAATAAAAGTAATAATAGTATTTTTAAAATACTCTTAATTTGTTTAAAATAAGAGATCTTGCTAGAGTAATAATAGAGTAAAATAAACTAAATCACTCAAAAGTTGTGAGTGAAATCGTACAAACGAAACACAATTAAAACGGCTAACGTAAAAATGTTTTGTTAATTATATATTCTTAAAGTTGTGAAATAATATTACCGATTTTCAATACCAAAGAGAGATTCGGCACAGCCACTCTTGTTTTTTTTTTCTTTTTTTGTTAAGTTCTGAAATAATATTACCGATTTTCAATACCAAACAGAGATTCGGCACAGCCACTCTTGTTTTTTTTCTTTTTTTGTTAATTTAAACTTTCCTTATTATTAGATATAAACTTATGGCGATATATTATATTTTATCATTTAAGTTAAAACAATTTTAAATACAAAAATAAAAGTGTTAACATCAAATTAACTAATAAATTTTTTTTAATAATTTTCCAGCCACCCGACCATCATTTCAATTGCCCAACAACTTTAATATCTTTACACCAGAATTTTGGCAATTCTTAAATCCCAACACTAGTCCAGCGCCAAGAATTCGCACAACCATAAAGTCTACTACGACAACTACAACAAAGAAACCGCCCAAAAAATATAAACCTCCTACGCAAATAACAACCAAAGAGGAAAAACTTAGTCTGGTAAAACCAAAACAGACTACTCCCGCAAGAACCACTACTAGCACCAAAAAACCAGACTTAATTAATAATGAACATAATGAACATACAGCGAAAAGAGATGATGGACCATTTCGCATAGCCTTACCCACATTCAATATATTAAGTTCTAAACGTGAAACCTATAATGATGAAGGTGAAAAAGGTAAAAGAAATGTGGACAAGGAAGGTAATTTGCGTGAACGTTTCGATTGTCCACGTGAAAGTGAGGTACGTTTTCAGTTGTTTCCAAAAATTTGCAAAATAGATGAGGATTGTAAGGTGTGGAATCGAGAGGAAATATGTTGTGAAATTTTTGGAGCAAAAAGTTGTGTATCGGGTATACCGAAACCATTGGAAGAAACATCACATGCACGTTAGTTCAATAAAAATATTTATAAAAACTATTTTAAAGTATTTGTTTTTTTTTATTATTAGCTATATTGGGTGTCATACCCCGTAAATGCCCTAACAGACCTTTGGCGGAATTATGGTGGGAAGTTAAGGAATGTGAAACCGATATGGATTGTTGGCCAAGAGTTTGTTGTCCCGATGGTCGTAGACGCTATTGTCGTACTTCACAGCCCGAATTGAATACAGTACCAGTACCGGTACAAAGATCTTTTAATTACTGTGAGTCTGCAAACAATTTTACTTAATTTAATACAGCTAGATTATAATTTTTTCTATTTTCCTGTAGTATCGGAGTATTTGGAATGTACACCACCTCCACCACCCATCTTCGATTTACACCCAAAAGCTTGTACTTCTACTTTGGATTGTTTTCCTAATGTCTGCTGCCAAGAAGCCGGTCTACGTCATTGTCGACCACCCAAGAAATCTGTTTTAACCATGTTGGCTAATGTTTTCAATGTGGATTTCGTTAAACGTCTAACACAAAATATTGTCATTAAGTAAAGTTTTTAACAGTCTATGGAAATCGCCATATATTGTTTACAAGTAATTTTTGATGATTTTCCTAAAAAAACCCCTTACTAAGATTTTGGTGATATTTTATATGATATTTCGTTATTGTTAAAAGAAATATTTTAGTAAATATTTATTATTTTTCTTGTTATCATTACTACTAATTAGCACTATAGACAATGTTGTCGTTTCTTGCCTTTTGATTATTATCTATTTAAAATGTATATAAACATGTAGTATATAGTTTGTATCTTAGCACTGTAGTTTGGGAGTTCTTGCATTTAATTGATGTATCTTCATATATAGATACTTATGTATGTTCAGATATTCTATATAGATAGATATACCGTATGTAACATACTACATATAAATGTAAATATGTATGTATGTAGTACTAATGTATGTACAACTATCTATTAGTAAATATAAATGCACGAGAATCTTGTGTAATTGTTGATATATTGTAGGTTTTATATATTTTTTGTTGCATTATCAATTGTATTGTAAAATCATTTATTTAACATATCGAGGCATTATATTCAAAAAAGGCTAACTCAAAAAAGTCTAGTTTTCAGGAGAGCAAAAAACTGTTTGCGTAATATTGAACAAATATTAATAAATTAAAAATATGTTTATAATAATCTTAATTGTAATACATTCAGTTTATTATAGGATTTATTTTGAGTTAGCTTATTTTTTTCAATAAGAAAATTATAACATTAATAGGTAAAATAAATACATATAACTATACATATTTCCGAATTTTTTAAGCATATTCCTGTTCAGTATGTCATATGGGCAATTCCATACGCTTGTATGTGACATTCGCACGCCTTCAGAGTGGTATAGATTAGGAGTACTTGGAAAACAATTTTGTCATTCTGTTCCATTTAAAGAATACTATATTTGCAAAAGGAATCATCCCATTCGGAACCTTGTTTTTCAAAATATGGATTAAAATATGGCGATATCATACGTGACAAAAACGGAAGTGTTTTTAAAGTACATGTAAATATATACGAAAATCTGCGAATTCTGTAGGTGTATCTTTTTTGTTTTAATTTCTTACACTATGGGACATATTGTTCATTAGTAATCCATAATTTTTAAATAAAAAAAAAAATAATATAATTTTATAATGAACATTTTTAAATATCGTACGTGACACATCGTATGTGACAGATTTTTCTCCTGATTTTTTTTTTTGGTTATAAAATATATATTTTGGAAATATATACATACACACACTTCAACAAAGCAAAAGGAGTAGGAAAGTGCAGTCGGACATGGCCGACCTATATACATGTTTAAGCAATTTATAGATAAAAATAAAAAACTGGAGTTATATGGCGACTAGGGTCAAATATGGACCGATCCTCATAAAATTCTAGGGTGTGATTTTAATTCATATAAAACTTATTTGTGCCAAATTTTATAATAATACTAGTGATTAGAGGTGAGTTACGGACGTTTAATTGTTTTTCTGAAATTAAACTTTGAATGGAACTAGGGTCAAATGAGGTCCAATCGTTATGAAAATCGGCTTAAAGGTTTAGGCTTATAAACATTTCAGATCTGCCGATTTTTGAAGGGATAGTATTATAATTAACAGAATTATGAGCTAAAAAGTGATATTTTCGCGTCCGTTTGTATGGCAGCGAGGTGTAAAAATAGACCAATTTCAAAAATTTTCAACAGTCTTCGTCTTTGGTGCTACAAAAGATCATATACCAAATTTTGTTAAATTATCTTCAAAAATGCAGAAGTTATAAGGGTTTTATTTTTTCAGTCGTGGTTTACCTTTTCATGGAATTGCCCATATTTAATAATAATAATATATATATTTTTTTAATATTCTATTTTCAGATAGGTACAAAAAGCACTAAGTTAAATATTTTGATACCAAATATATACTAGACATGCAGAATGCATTGATGAATCATTTGTCATCAAAAACTCAATTTGGCCCAAGATTAAGTTAGCACTTTTTGATTATAGGTTGTCGATATGTAGTACTTTGAGTATTAGGAAAACCTACATTTATTTTATTGATTGGTTTAATTAGAGTATATTTATTACATTAAGAAATTTACTATTTTCTCAACAACCTAAGGTCAACAGAAATTAAAAAAATCAATATTCGACTTAACCTGAACCAATAACATTTTTAAAGAGAATACTCGGGAAGAATTTCTAGCGACTCTGATACCATTACATTTACATTTTCGATACCATTATTCTTAATTAGAATTATTATAGAAAAATTTCCACTAAATCAGCAATATGCGACTGTTTGTTGAAATTACATGTTCGAAGTTTTGAATAAATTTTAATTTTTTAAATTATAAAAGCACATTTAAAATATCTGTACTCAACTCTATATTGTGTTAATTTTTCATAAATATTGGATCAAAACTTTTGAAGATATTGAAATTTTTAAATGTATTTTAATATCGTTTTGTGTTGGTTTTTAAAACTTTAAAACGTTCTCCTGAAAAGTACAAAAAAAAAACATCTTATGAACTTTTGCCTTTTTACAACAGAATCATCTTTAATTTAACTCAAGGTCTCATTATGTATAAGTATATAATCTGAAAAAAATAAACCTACGCCGGTAAATGGCCTATTGTGCCTTTCTTTTATATAGTAATCAAAAGAAATATCGTCCAATGTTTAGAACAATGTAGAATTTTCCGATCTGGGTTCATGAAGGATATAGTATCTGATATAGTTAACATCGTTAGCAAGATATTTCCAGGGGATTTCATGTCAAGTGATTCAACATTTGATAATGGTGACTTCTTTTAGACACAATTTTTTTAACAAGATTCCTCACCCCAACTTTCTGAGTTATAGTGGGTCAAAAAGTGGATCAAAATAAACATAGGGGCAAATTTCATCCTAATCAGAAAACATCGGTTTCAAAAATTGGGTCACATGACATGAAATCCCCCATTTGTATCAAATTTCGGCAAAAGCCTGTCAATGTTAATGAATATGTCCAGCGTTTCACGGTCCTCTTCTCATGCTCTACATTCGTCTGAATCTTATCTACCATTTCATTATTCCAAGAGATTTTTTGAGATTCTTTCTTCAAAGTTTTTAATTTAATAAATATTTAAATCATGGTAGTAAATAATAAAAGTATTGATTCATAAAGACCTTAGTCCATAAATTGAGTAGCCTTCCAATATTCAAAAATTTTTCGATATATGCTTCAAAAATTCAGCACAACCAAATGTCACTCTCAGTTTAAAAAACTCAAATTTTCAGTTATGGCATTTTTTAAATTTTCAAGACCCAAAAATAAAATTTCTTAAATTAGAACTTATTTTTTACCAAAACTATTAAAACAAAATATTTTTCATCAAAAATCTTTTTTTTAACAAAAAAATTGTTTTTTAACAAAAAAACTTCAATTGAAATTTACAACTCTCGAAAAGGACTTGATAGGCGACCCTTCTTTATCCTCATATGAAATATAAAACATATACGAACAACTTTCCAGTTTTAAATTCTTTTATTTTTGTAAATTTCACTTAAATTAATTTAACACATTTTGACATGTATGTTATACAAATTTTATAAACTAAATTAGTCTTAATTAAATACAATTCGATCCAATCAAATAAAATATACAAATGTATACAATAGAATCACTTTACTTGCCGCAGTTGCCCTTGTCGCAACTACCGCCAGATGCGCATTTGCATGAAGAGCCGCAACCACAATTGCCAGTTCCACTTTGAGAAGAGCATTTGCAACCTAATTTTTGTTAAACAAGAATAAAATAAATTTAATTAATTTACAATAGAAAGTAAATACTACAAATAAGCGAAATTTGATTTAAAAAAAATGTTCTTTATTTATAATGAATTTGAACTTACCAGTTCCACAGGGGCAAGGCATTTTGATTGATTGTTTTTAAGTAGTTTTCACAAAAAGTAAATTAGATGCAAGTAGAGAAAGTCTTTAGATACTGTTGTTTGAGCAACTTCAGATACTGACTGATGCCTGTGCCACGAATGTTTGAGTTTTTATAGATATGATTAGTGGGTATTTTTCAACTCACTTACACACTACACAGTTCGTATAATTTACATCAATATAATTTGCTTAATTTTCAGTTTTTAAGCTGAGTAGTGTGGTGTGCATATGACATATAACACTAAAGTCGACACACTCATCACTTCTACACCAGTATCTTCCAAATAAACTGCATGAATCCATTAATTGAGGTTTTAATGTGGTGCTGTGCGCAAAAAGGTGTTTTGCTGGAGTAGCGGGTCGAAAGGTAATTGAACATATAACTAAGAAAACAACAATTACCGGTGAAAATTAATATCTATGTTTATGTAGAAAGAAGCCTCGTTTTCTTTTTTTTCCCAAGTCTCTATTTTCATTATATTCAACTGAAATTCCCATAGCTCAACAATACAACAAATTAAGATACAAATTCTCATATATAAACTGTACAATCGGCGTACATCAAGATATAATTAAAAGTCGTGTGTAACGACGTCATAATTTGGTTTTTATTTTATATTCTTAATTATTTACTCTACTACTTTTACCAACAATTTCAATACAGTTGTCGATATCACGTCGTGATAAGATTCAATGGTTCGTAACGAAGAGAAAAATACAAAATGAAAATTTAGGAGAATTGCGCTCAACTTTTAGGGGTCTTTGCTTTTAGAATTTTTACAACCAGTTCAGTCTGTTGTTAGCAGCTATACGAATCATTTTAAATGTTATGAAAAATAGTTGCGGTCATTTGAAATTTAAGATGTATAAAAGTTTATGAAGTTTTATATTTTTATGAATGCATTTCTTCTCTAGTTCTTATACATTTTTAGTGCATGCAAGTTCTGTCAAACATCTAAAATTTTCCTGTAGAATTGTATACTAAAGTCTGATTTGAAATACATATATTCAACAGTTTTTGCAATATAAAAAAATTTCACCCAAAATCAGTGTTTTGAACGCAGATATCCATAAGGACTTTTAACAAAATAATTACTCCAAAACCTTTGATAAAAGATGTGATATCACAATTTTAAAAATATCCCATTAAGCCTCATATATGTTTTAACTGTATTCCGGTTGACATATATATGGCTAGGGTTAGGAGAACACGAAGTCCTATCAATGGAAAATATTCGTGACGGATGGACATGTAAGTTTTACATGAAAACAATTTTGGGGAAACTTTAGGTATTTCAATTTAAAAATGGGGATTTTTTGGGGACTTCCAAGCTAAGATTGGGGACATGAGACAAAATTTTTCTGGCAACACTGAACGTATCGTTAGACTCATACGTCACCTGGTTGTCAAAGTTATAAACCTATTATAATTAAATTTTATTTTACAAAGTGGAGTCATAAACCAAAATAGTGTTATAGAATATAATCCATATTATTGAAATATAGAGGGAGTCTCATAACTCCACAGTGACTGGCAAAAATATAAATAAAAAAATTACTTTTTTAAAGAAGTTTTTCTCAATTCTTTTTACTACATATTTCACATTTCAAGTTTTCAATATCATAGAAATTTATATTCTAATATTTGTGGAGTTATTGCTCCTTTTTATTGAAACACAATAGCCTAAATAGGCCTAAACGGAAGGTGCTGAAATATCACAATTTTTATCTATTAATACGGTTTTTTTCTTAGTAAAAATGGACAAAACTGGTCCACATTTAACCTTACCCCTCAAATAAGATTCCCTACAAAAAAACGAAAGCTGGAGGTCCATACCACGCCTTCTGCGCTTCTTCGCATTTACGATTAAGAAGAGTAGCATGTAACTTGATGCGTAGGATGCAAAGAAGGTATGAAAAGCATGAAATGCTTTGCCGCGAAGACGCGTAGTGGGGACATCAAGCTTAAGGCTGGAAAATTGATAAATACACATTAAAACAAGTAAGGAATTTAGTTAGTCGAGGCCGACCATATAATACACTACACCTGTTACAAAAATTAAATGTGATTTAGTTTTCTTAATAACGCATTTAAGTTGAATTGTACCTTACCTTGAATTATACTTAAGCCATTTATTGTTGAACAAAATTGTGGACATTTAAGTCAAATTTTGAAGGGGGATTTGTATAGGGGCTATGGTCAAATGAGACCCTATAATTATAAAATTCATGAGAGTCATCAATGCTAGTATAGAACTTGGTTTTGCAGCTTTTTGTCGAGATAAGAGTAATTATGAACTTAAAATCCCTATTCGCCGGGTTCAGTTGTATGGGGGCTAGGTGAAATAATGGATCGATGTTGACCATTTCCAATATGCTTTGTCTCTGGTACCATAGAAGATTATCCGCCAAATTTCATTGAATTATCTTCAAAATTGCGACCTGTAGTTTGATTACAAGGTTTACAAGCCCTATTCGAGGGTTCAGTTGTATGGGGGCTAGGTGAGAAAATGGACCGACGTTAACCATTTTCAATAGGCTTTGTCTCCGATACCATAGAAGATCATGTGCCAAATTTCATTTAGTTATCTTCAAAATTGCGACCTGTAGTTTGATTACAAGGTTTACAAGCCCTATTCGGGGGTTCAGTTGTATGGGGGCTAGGTGAAATAATGGACCGAACTTAACCATTTTCAATAGGTTTCGTCCCTAGGACAATATAAGATCATGTGCAAATTTCATTGAATTATCTTCAAAATTGCGACCTGCAGTTTCATTACAAGGTTTACATGGACGGACGGACGGACATAGCAAAATCGACTCAGAAAAAGATTCTAAGCCAATTGGTATACTTTAAGGTGGGTGTAGGACCAATATTATTGTGCGTTACAAACATCAGCATAAACCCAATATACCCTCCCCACTAAAGTGGTGTAGGGTATAAATAGAACATAAATTGTCAAAATCAGCTGACATATTCATGCGCCGCTTATGACACTTACAAAAATAGAAAGTAGATCTACTTTAAGCATTCTACGCGTTAAGGCATCCCACGCTTTTGTGCTTAGCCCTCAAATAAGATCCCCTACAAAAGAGACTAACTGGCTTAAATACATACATATACATATGTCAAAAAAACAAGTTGAATGTGGCAGTAAAAACTTCTATAAGTAAAAACAGTAAATTGATTTTAAGTCCTTTTTATTATTTTTAATTTTACAGCCAAAACATAAATTTTTTAAAATAATTAAATTATTATAATAAATTTTAATACATTTGTTAGATTTAATATAAAAAAATATCACAAAATTTTGATAAATATAAATTTTAAATAAATATTATACATTCCATTTGTGGCAGCAAAAACATTACTTGGTTGAGCCGCATTTGCAGGAGGTACCACAACTGCAATTGGCAGATGGGTTTTGAGAAGTGCATTTGCAACCTAATTTAATTAAAATTTAAAATTTATTAAATTTAAAAATACATTTTTATAAAATTTGAATTAAGTTAAAAAACTTACCAGTTCCACAAGGACAAGGCATTTTGTTGAAGTTTAGTTACAAGAAGAAAGTTTTAAAATGTTGTTGTTGTTAAAGCAACTTTAGATGTTAACTGATGATCTTGCAAGAAGTTTATGCAGTTTTATAGATATAATTCTATAATTTTACAACAGATTTGGCCAAATTTTAAGCTTAGTAGAGCGGTGTGCATTTATAATATGTAACTGAATTAGGCACACTACACCACACTATGCACCCGGTACCCATTAAATCTTCACATGAACCCACTAAATTGAAAACTGCGTAGTAAGTTTTAAATTAGTACCGTGTGTAAATACTATTGTAAATTAAGCTATTAAGCTATTGTAAATTAAGCTATTACTTCAAATATTTTAACTGTAAAATATTGAAAATGTTTTTATATTATTTAAGTTGGGATTTTTAAGCCCTGCTTTTCTGAGTAATTTTATTATGTCGAAATGAATTTTTTATTAATGGAACATACCCTCATATTAACTACTATGTGTGCAACGTCATTTTTTATCATTTGTTTACTCTAGTTTTTTGTATTTATTATTATTGTTGATAAGTAATTTTTGATAAGAAATCAAGATTCGTTTAAAAACGAAGTAAATAGTATTGCGCATTAATTTTGATTCGATTTGTTTTTCATGTTTGTGGTCTAAGCATTTTTAAATTTACTGGGCCATTTTAGTATGCTCTCAGCTGTAGAAATGCTTATTTAGAAAAATTTTCAATAACACTAGTTAACAAATTACAAATATTTCTTTGATCACGGTATAAAACATGTACTTTTTGTGAATATACATATCCGATAGTTAATTAACTTTTTTCCCATCTATATGTTAAAATTTTGAGAATAATCCTTATTTACAGGATCAACTAAGTTTGACGTCCTGAATTTTTTTTAATATTTTCCCGGAGCCGACCTAAATAAACAAATCCATATAAGTTTTAAATCGTGAGGAAAACCACTGTCAACTAGTGTAATTAAAGAAGTTTTAAAAGTTTAGCGTAAATGTATATAAACATTATGATGTAAATAAAAAATTTTCTTTAAAATTTTTTTTTTTAATTTTAAGCGATTTAACAAAACAAAATTGTTTTAAAATTTCTTTTCAATCTAAAAAACAATTGCGGATTGGAAACCTTCCGATCGTGTGCCTTATACACACATATTAAGTACCTAATTAATGTCCATATTATGGACCTACATATTTAAAAAATGTTCTTACTTAATAGAAGTAAATCGACATGCCGAATCTTATAAACCCAACAATAAAAGATTGTCGATATCAATTAAAGATCAGGGTGATTTTCGGAAGAAGACCTTTTATAAGGACTTACATACGTCAATTATGTACCGATTCGTTTAGATATCGAGAGAGACTTAAACTTCTAATAACAAATTTTGTATTAAATTTCTAGAATATTTGAGACAAATTGTAAAGATTAGTGTTAATTTATACGCTTTTGTAGGTCTATGATCAATATATCGATGTATTACTTCAACTAAAAATTCCCCTTGCACCGAAAATATTAGACAATTTTGAAAATAGTTTAAACTAAATAAAAGTCTTTAGAAGGGCCCATATTTTGTATTATTAAAACCCGAATTTTGAATTACCCCAGTCTTGTAGTAATTGAGCGATATGTAAAAGAATTTTATATTTACGTAGGACATTTTAGTGTAAAAAGCGTGCCCTATTTCCCAAATATTATGGCTCTGTGACGTTTGGTATACGATTTATTTTTTTATAAAAATGTATACTTTGGGCCACATGTTTTAAAATCCCAGAGCTGGGATGGTAAAACAGCAAATGTTCCTAATTTAAAGTATTGTTCCAAAAGTATTTTCTCATACCTGAAAGAAAAATAAAAAAAACTGTTTTTTGGAATTGCGGGATTCCCTTTAACATTTTGACAACTTTTTTAACCTTTATGACAAATTTGAAAAACGCTGATCTTAAAATTTTGAAAAAATTTTTAACGTTTATGACAAATTTGAAAAACGCTGATCTTAAACTGTAATATTTAATTTTTTGCAATTTTTATGAAGAAAGATGGGGATTTTAAAAGATATTATTATTATAATATAAAAGATATTATTATTATAATATTATAATAATATATTATAATTTAATTTAAATTTTTGACATTTTTTATTTGCTCCTAAATAAAAATACAAAACACTCATTTATATACATAATTAAAAGTTTATCCGATAATTATTTATAACATTTTAAATGAGCATTTCAACTGCTAGCAGCCTACTAAAATGATTTAAAAAATTAAAAATCTGAGACCGCAAACTAAAAAAATACGAGTCAAATCGTATTCCTGATATTTCACTCGTTTAAATGAATTCGTAATTGTTATCGTAATATGCTTATCATTAACAACATTGATAAGTAAAAAATACTAAAGTAAACAAAAAATACAAACTAATATGACGTTGCACACGAATTTTATTACGTAGCAGTTAATACGTAATTATATGAAAATGTTTAATATTAAAAAAATTATAAATTATGATTTTAAACAAGACTTAAAAAAATTCTTATTTTATTAAAATTAGAAAATATGTAAAATTTCCATATTAACTTTTACACCTTTTTTGCACACGACCCACACATTTTAAAACTTATTTTGAGGTAAATTTGTGGGTTCGTGTGCACTTCATTGGCAATTAACGTAGTGTGGTGTGGTGTAGTGTGTCTTTCGTTCTTTAACAAATAAAGTGCACACCGCACTTCTAAGCTTAAGATCAAAATATTTTGTAGAATCATATCTATAAAACCACAAGTAGACGTAACAAAATCATCAGTGAACAACTAAAGTTGCTTAAACTACAACATCTTTTCTTGTAACAAAACTTCAAAAAACAAATTATCAAACAAAATGCCTTGCCCCTGTGGAACTGGTAAGTTATAAAAAATAATAGAAATATTAAAAAATAATAATATTGTAAAAATGTGTAAAAAATTATATATTACAATATTTATTTTTTATTAAAATTAGGTTGCCAATGCACTTCTCAAAACCAAGCCGCCAATTGCAATTGCAAAAACGCTTGCCCCTGTGGAACTGGTATGTTTATAAAATAACAATTTTATAAAATTGACTTTAATTTAATAAAATATTTTCTTTTTCATTTAATTAGGTTGCAAATGCTCTTCCCAAAAAACTGGCAATTGTGGTTGCGGTAGTTCATGCAAATGCGGTTCCAGCCAATAAAATAGTTTTGTAGACCAACTAATATTTAGTTAAGATTTTAGTTTATATTTTTTACAATTAAATGTAAAACCTTAATTTAAGTAAAATTCATTTATTAGGCGTTGAACTTTTTTTGCAAAAAAAATTGGAATAAAAATTAGTAAAAAAATTAAAATTGTTTTAAATCATTTTACTTAAATTTGTAATATATATTTCATTTATGTAATAACTTTTTCTTGTTGTATAAAAATTTCAATACCGAGAAAAATTGTATTAGTTCCACAATTAGATGCATATATGGTATGTAGAACGACTTTTGCATTGAGACCATTAATTTTTATCATAATTGGTTATGCGTAAGCGTATATGTACATATGTATGTTTTCATCTCACTTTGAAAATGTTTTCTAATTTTTGTTAATTTGTTAAACAATTCATAATTCATATTTATAATTGAAGTGATATAGGTACATATGGACAAGATGTCGAAGTGCTTTACGTGAGTACCTGGCGTGTAGCCCTATCTCACGGTGGTACTTTTTCAACCACTGGGTGAGTATCAAGTAAACAACTCACCACTGCCCCTTTGTGTTTGTTACACGCAGGTCGCAATTTTTGTACATGGATATGCCGGTCCATGTACAAGCACTTTGCTCAAGTACTCGAGCTATCTAATCTCTTGCCAAGGTAGTCACGTTGAGGAAATACAGGTGTCATGAGCAAGCTCAATCTACCCCGACATAATGTCGCCCAACCACACTACTAAGGCTCTGTTGATTCGGCAACAGCACCTAGGGGACGTAATTGGTAGTCCGAAAAACACAGATTATATTAATTGACAAGACTTTATTTCAGTGGTCACAGACACCCACTGTGATAAGTTGAGCATACACTCAACCATGTTGGAAAATCGCTTCAAAATTAAAGAAAGGGCAGTGACGACTTCGCACTCCATTGGCTAGATAGACCGTAGTCTAACTCTCATTCATCGTTCATCTTACATCTGTACCCATTTATCACACATCCGTCAAATCCATCAATCACTCCATTCTCTTTATAGAATTCAAAGTAGACATCAGAAACATCGTTCATCTTCGTTTACCAATTCTTCGCATTATCAGCTCAATTCCAACATTTTAATAATCCACAGTCATGCTCTGTAATTTGTACCGCTCCTTGCATCTAGGAACGATAACAGAAATGTATCTTGAAAATTTATATTTCACCGTGTATCAGTCTTTTAACCAAGCACCCCCTTCCTGCGATTTAGGTTTAAACCACAGCCACTACGTGGATTCCGAAGGAACCTCAACCAACTGACCAGCCAGGTCCTGTGGGCAACTGGCCACCCGTAGTACCAGATTATGTGGTGCTCTGGTTAGACCTCTTTTCAATTTATGCAAGGACTAGGCCAGGCAGTAAATTGTCAACACCAATTTATAGTCCCGGAAGACTACAGGTATTGGTAGCACTTATCTTCCCCGGGATTGCAATAACACCAAGGCGGAGGTCTCGCCAACGTAACATGCCCCCGGGGGGTAGGTACATATGGACAATTTCATGTCAAGTGACCCAACTGAAAAAATTGGATAGTACTATTGGATAGTAGGTCAGACACAGCTCTATCGGTCAAGAACTGCCGGAGTAAAGAGGGGTTCAAAGTTGGACATTTTGGTCATACAGGGTTTTATTCAAATGAGTGTAACTTTTCACCTATTGGTCCTAGCAAAAATTGTTCAAAGGAGTTCAGATAGATATTTCTTCATTGTGTGAAAAAAATATATACATATTTTTTTAATATTTTTTTTTCGAAATGTGCCTTTTTTTTCAACAGCCTTCGTCATTGGATTCAGAGAATAGTATGTGACTTATTTTAAAAAATTATATTGAAAATTGCGAGCTGTAGCGTTCACACAAGGTTTAGACGGTCACAAAGACGGACATATGTATGTTGCTTAATCGAATCTGAAAGTGATTCTGAACTGACTAGTATACATAAGGAGAAATATTTTTGAGCGTTACAAACATCAGCACATTGGGCCGATTTTGAATAGATAGTAGTATATTAGACGTAGTTAAGATATAAAAGGCCCAAAACGGAAGGTCCGGTTGTATGGTGGCTAGGACAGAAATTAAGCCGATCCTTATAAAATGTATTGTTGGGAATTATGTTTATATAAAACATATTTGAGTCAAATTTCATCGTGACACTAGTGTTAATAAGTGAATTGTGGACATTCAAGTCATTTTCTGGAGGGGAGTTTGTATAGGGGCTAGGGTTAAATGAAGCCCGATCATTACGAAAATCGACAGTGTTATTTATAATTATCTATAAACTTAATTATACTGATTTTTGGAAAGATAGTGGTATATTTGACATAGTTATAAGCTTAAAGGCCCAAATCAATAGGTCCGGTTGTATGGGGGCTAGAGCAAAAAATTATCCGATCCTTCGGGATTTATGTTTATATCAAATTAATTTTTGCCAAGTTTTATCGTGACAATAGATTTTATAAGTGAATCGTGGACGTTCAAATCATTTTCTTAAGCTGACTTTGTATGGGTGGTCAAATAGGGGAAAATGAGGCCCGATCATTACGAAAATCGACAGTGTTATTTAGGATTATATCAAACTTAGTTTGCCAATTTTTGGGAAGATAGTAGTATATTTGACGTATTTATGAACCGTTATATGGGGGCTAGGGCAAAACTTGGGCCGTTCCTTATAAAACTTATTGTCAGGATTTATGTAGATATAAAACTTATGTGTTGCAATTTTCATGGTGATACTAGTGTTTAAAAGTGAATTATGGACATTCAAGTCATTTTCTGTGGGGGCTAGGGTCAAATAATGCCCGATATTTACGAAAATAGGTAGAATTATTAAGACTTATATAAAACTAATTTTTGCAAATTTTTGAAGAGATAGTAGATCATTAAACATAATTATGAGGTCAAAAGCCCTATTCGGGGGGTCCGCTTGTCCTTGAGCCAAAAGAAGAGTATATGCCAAATTTCATTTAATTATCTTGAAAATTGCGACCTGTAGAATGCGCACAAGGTTTACACGGACAGACATACAGACGGACTGACAGACTGGCATAGCTAAATCGACTCAGAATATGATTCTGAGCCGATTGGTATACTTTAAGAAGAAAAATACTTTCTTTTGAGCAAAATTTACATATAATCAGACATGGCCGAGCATATGATACCCTACAACACAGAATATATTAAAAATCGGGATTATTTTTAAATATGGGACATTTAATCTGTTTTTACCTTATGTACCTATTTCTTTGGCAAATTTTTGATTTTTTTTAAATAAAACCACTGTATTAGTTCTTTATGTTTTTTTTATTTCATTATTTGGCAATAAAGTTCAAAGCCAAATGTATGAATTTTACTTAAAATTATTTAATTACACTAATAATCTTAACTAAATATTATTTGGCCTACAAAACTATTTTACTGGCTGGATCCGCATTTGCAAGAGCTACCACAACCGCAATTACCAGTTTGGTTTTGGGAAGAGCATTTGCAACCAGTTCCACAGGGACAAGCATTTTTGCAATTGCAATTGGCGGCTTGGTTTTGGGAAGTGCATTGGCAACCTAGTTTAAATAAAAAATAAATTTTGTTAAATATGTATATTTTTTTATTAATTTTTACAATTTTAGTTTTATGTTTATAATTATTTTATTATCTTGTAACACTTACCAGTTCCACAGGGGCAAGGCATTTTGTTTGATAATTTGTTTTTTTTTTTGAAGTTTTATTACAAGAAAAGATGTTGTAGTTTAAGCAACTTTAGTTGTTCACTGATGATTTTGTTACGTCTGCTTGTGGTTTTATAGATATGAGTCTTATTAAAAAACACTTTTCAGCACACTAGCATTCTACAAAAGATTTGACTAAATTTTAAGCTTAGTAGTGCGGTGTGCACTTAATCTGTTTAAAAACCAAGTAGGCGCACTACACCACAGTAAGCAAAGTACCCATAACAAATTGCACACGAACCCACAAAAAGAGAATAGCAAGTTTTAAAAGTGTTTCGTGTGCAAAGGTGTAAAAGATAACTGAAAATTTTCCATACTTTTCAATTTTAATAAAAAAAGGATATTTTAAAGTCTTGTTTTATAACTATTATGTACTTAGTTTTAATTTTTATAATGTTAAAAGTGACATTTTTATTACTTACTATAAAAAAAATATACGAATTTTTCATTACGTATTAATTAATACGTAGTAAAAATTGTGCGCAACGTCAAATTTTGTTTATATTTTTTGTTTACTCTATTTTTTACTGATTTTTTTGTTGTTGAGTATTTTATGATAAGAAGTTAAGATTCGTTAAAAACGAAGAGAAATCTCCAGAATATACATTTCATTGCACACGATTTGTAGATTCGTTTTTTTTATTTTTGAGGTCTCAGCTTTTTTAATTTACTGAACCATTTTAGTAGGCTGTCAGCAGTTGAAATGCTCATTTTAAATATTCAAAACAATATGCGGAAAAGTTAGTTCTATTATTTCACAGAAAATTTTTGGAATATTTAATTATTATTGCTTTTTTAAAAGCAAATTTTATAAAACAAAATGGCTAATTTATGTAAATTATGAAAATTAAACGTGTGAATATTTAAACGTTTACAAAAAATTGTGTTTAAAAAATTAAAGGTCTCATTTTATAAAACGAACTACAAATGTTGAAAATAATTTGTACGGAAAGAATTAAAAAATCTCTCTGAAAGTTTCGTTTTATAAAATGAGGGGGTAAAGGTCTCATTTAATAAAACGAAATGATAAAATTTTGTTAAATATTGTATGAAAAAAAAAATTTCTCAGTATTCCTTCATTTCCAATCATTTCGTATCATTTAATGTATAGTCGGGAATGGTCGGACATACGATACCCTACACCGACATCCTGTTAAAAATGTGGATTATTTTAAATAATAAAGCATTTAAGTTCTTTTCTTAATTCCGAAATATTTTAACAATTTGTTGACAAAGAGTGATTTTCTGAATAAGGCAAGGGTAAATATGGGCCAATCCTAATAAATGCTGTTAGAGGGATTCACATTAACATTAAAGTTATTTATGAAGAATTTCATCATGATAGTAGTGTTTTTAAGTGAATTGTTAATTAAATTTTAAGGCACTTTTTATAATAATGGACCGATTGCAACCATCAATAGCTTCGCCTTTGGGCCAAGAGAAAATAATGTGTACATTATCTAGAAAATTGCGACTTGTAATATGCGCACAAGGTTTAAATGGACACACAGACATTAGGGTGGCCCTGTTTGTATGGAGGAAAAATAATGTGTCGATGTTCCCAACTAAAATTAAAGTTTAATTTAATTTAATTAATGATTATAAGATAGCGTTTCTCTAAATTTTTGTCCTGGGGTCAATATTTGGCGAGCTGGATCGAAGGATAACAAGGTCCTTTTTTGAGGTTTTTATGATTTTTTTCATATTTCTTCCAAAGGAAAGACATAACATTTTGGTATTATTAGAAAGGTCTTTGAGATACACTTTCAATGGCATATCAGAAATTTTTGTATAACAGTAGAAGTAATCGAAATTATCTAATTTTTCGTAAACTTTTAAGATTTTTAACATTTTAACATAGATGAATTTAATATAATTCGTTGAAATTAATACACAATAATCCTCAATAAAATCTACCGAAACGAAGCCTATGTGCGCTACCAAAACATTGCGAAATAATGTAAACAATAACATAGAAACCGTTATTTACAAAGCAAGCATAACAAATATGTAGATGTTTGGGATAAATTGTGTTAATATTTTAGTTAAACTGAAAAATTTGATTAATAGTAGAATGAAACCATAAAGTGTTATATACCATTATAAAGCAAATGAAATTACGCGTATGTTGATGTACATGTTAATTACGTTGGATCGATATAGCTAGCAGAAAACCTGGGACAAAATAGAGTTTATAATATTAAAATAAAATACAAAACATAACGAATTTTGAAAAACAGAAAAAACCATTTCGGTGAAATTGTATGAGGTTTATAATGTAATAATTTCAATTAATTACATTATATAATTCTATGTAAAAATTTGAAAAACTTAAAAATTTTCCGATAAAACACGACATTTGTAATAATTTTGGAGTTGCATACAAAATTGTGGTATGTCATTGAAATCGCCTCCTAAAGAACTTACATCTGATACTAAATTTGCATAAGGTTTATTTGCAAGAAATATGATAAAAATCATAAAAACCTTAAAAAAGGACATATTTTATTCTTTGATCCAGACAAACATTTTGAGAAATGGTATCTTTAAATGAACTAAATTTTCATTTTCGGTGGCAACGTCAGCAACTTCCATTTTGGGGCCACTCTAACAGACATACATTCATATATAGCTTAATCAACTCAGAAAGTGATTCTGAGTACAATCAAAACAAAACTTAAGAACTTCGTTTCGTTTTTTTTTGGAAACAGCGAAGAAATAGCTATCTAAAGTCCATTGTACAATTTTTGCTAGGACCAATATGTGAAAAGTTACACTCATTAGAAAAAGCCCTGTATGACCAAAATTACCAAAAATTGGTAAACTAATATGTATCTTGATTAAATTTTATTAGAACTGGCTGGATCCACATTTGCAATTTGTACCACAATCGCAATTGCCAGTTTGGTTTTGGGTGCATTGGCAACCTAATTTTATTAAAAAAAAAATAAATTGCAAATGTAATGATTCCACAGGTACATTTGCAATTACAATTGCCAGCTTTTTTTGGGAAGTGCATGGGCAACCATTTCCACAGGGGCAAGGCATTTTGATTAAAACTCTTAATTTGCTTTTTTTTTAAATTGTGTTACAAGAAAAAATCCTTATAATCTTTATAAAAAAAACTTCAATTTTTTACTGATAATTTTGTTATGAGTCATTTCATAAATGATTTTACCAAATCTTAAGGTTAGTGGTGTAATAAACTGATATAAGTTTGTGCCGTGTGCCAATGGTGGTATAAAAAATGATTAATCAAATTTGATCAGTTTAATATTTTGATCCAATTTTATTACTTACATTAATTGAAATTCTTATCATATTTTTGTAAACATACATATCTATCAAAATTAGTGTTTTTCTTTTCCCGGGCCTATTCATTTCCCGGGAAAACGGGATTCATTTTGAAATTTCCCGGGATCCCGGAAATTCCCGCCCAGAACAAATAATTAAATTTTACGAATATATTCGCCATTTAAATACGTAGTAATAGTAATTTGTATATATATATACTTTTGTGGGGACTTTTCCAAAATTTCCCTGTATTCTTCACAGGTTTTCAAACTTTTACTTTAACGAAATGAGAGGGGGGTAAAAACAAAATTAGTGTTTTACTCCTTCATTTTATAAAATGAAACTTTAGTTGAAGTAAAAAAATTTTTTAAAATCTGTACTTTTTCCATAAAAAAATGTCGCTTAATTTTTTTTATGAGACGCTTATTATTATTTTATTTTTTAAAAAAATTGAGTCAATTTATTTTTTAATTAAAATTATTAAAAATATATTTGTTATGTTAAAAAAAAAAATAGTTGGTAAACTTAAGTCTTATGGAAATACAATTAGATAGGGAATCTTTCTATTTATTGACCGCATTTGCATGAATTGCCGCAACCACAATTGCCGGTTTGACTTTGGGAAGAGCATTGGCAACCAGTTCCGCAGGGGCATTTGCAAGTACAATTACCAGTTTGGTTTTGGGATGTGCATTGGCAACCTAATTTGTTTAAAAGGAACAATTATTAAGTTGAAATAGTTTTTGGAATTATTTTGTTGTAAAACTTACCATTTCCACAGGGGTAAGGCATTTTGTTTGATAGTTTGGTTTAAAGTTTTGTTAGAGGAAAAAATTCTTAGAATATTGTTTAAACAACTTTAGTTGTTGACTGATAATTGTGTTACGATTGTATGTGGTTTATATACATAGATATGATTCTAATTAAACACTTTTCAAAGCAATAGCACATTGTACGATTTTACCAAATCTTCAGCTTAGTAAGTAGTGTGGTGTGCATTTACTTTAGCAAAGTAAGCACTCTACACCAAGTACCCATAAAACTCTACACCAAGTACCAATAAAACTGCACAGGGCAGAGTGCAAACAATGTTTGTTGTAAGTTAAAGAATGGTAGGAAAAATAATTAATCAAATTTGGTTATTTTAAAGTGGTTTGTCCTATTTATGAGTTCCAAATTTAATAACGTTAACATGAAATGTCCTCTTTAAAACTTTACATAAATACCACAATTACTATGTAATAGTAGTTATTTTGAAACGTCATATTTGTTGATATTTTCTATTTATTCTACTTTTTTAACAGTTGATTATTGATAAGCTTCTTATGATAAGAATTCGTCAAAAACAAAGATAAAAAAATATTTTATGCTCACGAAATTTTAATATATTCTCTTTAGATTTTTGAGGTCTTTGCGTTTTTAATTATTGATAGCAATTTAGTAGACTGTTAGCAGTTCAAATGCTTGTTTAAAAATTCAAACTACTAATATAACATGTTTTGCACTATTAATTTAAGAATAATAATGCAAATGAAATGACGTAATAAATTTTGGTTAATTATAGCGTTTAATACCCTTCTCCTTCGTGAGAAGGGCACATATACAAAAGTTTGTCATTCCGTTTGTAATTTCCACAATATAATTTTCCAACCCTATAAGGTATATATATATTCTTTATCCGTCTGTCTGTCCGTCCGTGTGTCTGTTGAAATTAATTTTTTGAAGACCCCAGATTTCTTCGGGATCCAAATCTTCAATAATTCTTTCAGACATGCTTTCGAAAAGTTTCCTATTTAAAATCGAAATTCGTTTTTAAATAACGGAGATATGAGCAAAAATTCGAGACAACCTCTGAAAAAAGTGAATGTTAGAGCATGCTTTGAAAAAAAAAACAAGTAAGAAAGTATAGTCGGGCGTGACCGACCATATGATACCCTACACCAGTTATGAATATTAAATGTGATTTATTTTTCATAATAAAGCATTTATCTTCAATATTACTTTGTTCCGATACATTTAAGCAATTTATGGATGAAAAATTAATTTTCGGAAAGAGGCTTTATATGGAGGGCTAGGGGTAAATATGGACCAAGTCCGATAAAGTTTTGTGAATATATTTATATTTATATAATATTTATTTGTGCTGAATTTCATCGCGATATTTGAGCTTATAAGTTAATTTTGGACATTCAAGTAATATTCTGAAGGGGACTTTGTATGGGTGCTAGGGTCAAATGAGGCCCGATCTTTATGAAATTTGGCAAGGTCATCAAGGCTTATATAAAACTTAGTTATGCTGCTTTTTATCGATATATAGGTATATTTAACATAATTATGAGCTCAGAAGCCCTTTTCGGGGGGTTCTGTTGTATGGGGCTAGGTGAAATAATGGTCCGTCCTTGGGCAAAAAAAGCGTGTGTGCCAAATTTCACCCAATTATCTTGTATGTTACAAAAATCAGCACAAACCCAATATACCCTCCCCACTAAAGTGGTGTAGGGTATAATAAACAACATTGGTTTTTGAAAAAGCGTATATTGGTTTTATTGTTTTGTATATTTTGTAGGCTTTTTGTGTATTTTTTCGTTTGGCGTTAGTTGTTGTTTTTTATGTTCTGTTATTGCTTAAGTAACGGTAGAGTTGGAAAAATATAAAATAAATTGAAATGTTATCAAATTAAATTTATTTTAAACACACTATGGCGAAGGGTATATAAGATTCGGCAAATATTTGTTTTTATAAAAAGATGTTCCATATATATGGACCACCTTGTTGCAGGATATCCTGCATTGCATAGGATCATGTTGCGGATCATGTCTTTAGCAAGGGAGTAGTTTTGTAATTACTCTGATGTAATGAATAGATTGTTTTAGAGGTCCTCACATAGAACATCACAATGTTAAATGCAGTATGTTTTTCCATATATTTGGATTAGTCTTGGATCAGTGTGTACGGAGTAGTCTCAATTTTTCCAGGGGAATGAAAAACTAGAGTTTCTTTCTAAACGTGAACAAATTTCCCGGCAATATTTTATTCTGAAATTTCGCTTCATAAAATTATAATAATATGAATAATTTTTGAAACTTTTGTCATTTCATGTTATAAAATGAGAAAAATAATTTTAAATTATTCCATTATAGATTTGATTATCGTACTCAAGGATTTTAAGAATTACAAGGTTTATTTTTGTATTTTACAACATGATAATTTTAACTTGATAATTGCTAATAAATTTTTTAATAAAATGATAATAATATGAATATTTTTTTTAAACTTTTGTCATTTCATAAAATGAGAAAAATAATTTTAAATTATTCCATTATAGATTTGATTATCGTACTCAAGGATTTTAAGAATTACAAGGTTTATTTTTGTATTTTACAACATGATAATTTTAACTTGATAATTGCTAATAAATTTTTTAATAACGATTATTTTCAACATCGTAAATCAATTATTTTTGAAAGAAAATTTTTACAAAAACATAACAAATACATTTGCTCATTTTCTACAAGACTGGGATAATTCAAAATTCAGGTTTTTTAATTAAATATTTATTGTTTTAAAAGTTGAAGTAAAAATTTAATTTAATTGAAAATTATATTAATCTCTTCTATCTACATCTGACTTCATTTTTCAAATCCCATTCTTTAAAAATTATTAAAAAAATAGTAAAATGACATATGTATATAAAACATTCAAAGCCTTATTTCTTAAGACGTTCCTTTTTTATGTCAGCAATTAAAGTTAAAGTAATTTTCTGAAGAAGGAAGATTTAAGTTCCTATAAAAGTTTCTTATATTAAATTCCATAACTGTACACGTATTTTTAACGGACCTTATATGGGGGTAGGGTCAATTATGAACCGATCCTCATAAAATTTGGTAGGGAGATTTTGGATCATATGAAACTTATTTGTGTTTCATCGCTATACTCGAACTTTTAAAACAGATATGCCCGTTAAAGCTGTTTTTCGGGGGTCCACTTGTATGGGGGCTATCCGAAAACGTGGAACGACAAGGCTCATTTTCAATATCAAACAAACCTTTCCTATAGAGAATATTTATGCAAAATTTCAACTATTTAGCTCCTCCCGTGTGAACCCTATCGTGATTTCAACAGACAGACGGACAGACATGGCTAGATCGTCTTAGAATTTAATAAGGACCCAGAATATATATACTTTTGTGGGTCTATGACCGATATTTCGATGTGTTACAAACGGAATGGCAAAAACAATATACACCCTATCTTTTTTGATGGTGGGTATAAAAATAGGTCCATAAATGACAGAGACAACCATTTTTTTTGCATACTTTGACAAAAAGAAAAAAAGAACAACATGTAGCTTCATATGGTGAATGATGTTCTTGTACTTAGTTCGCTTGCTTTTAAAAACAAAACAGAATAGGACCAACATGTTACGTAATACGTATGAAGTATTTATTATGTTGTTATTGTATTATTATAAAAAATAAATTTTCAAAATATTTAAAAAACCAAAATTTTAAAAATATTAAAAAATTTAATTATTTTTTGCAAGTATAATTTTTTTTAAAGACACTATTGTGAAATGTATGTAAATAGGATTCGGCAGTGCCGAATATACATACATATGTATACGTTTTAGTTGTTTTTAATACACATACATTAGTTCATATTGACGCATTTTCATATGCATTTCATATTTTAAGGTGTTTAATAGATATGTTTTTAAATAAGACTATTAAATTAGTTTTTTATTGTTTTTATTTACGTGTTTTATTTGCCAAAAAATTTGGCTAAATTAAAGATTTTTTGTTAAATTAATTTAATACATTTGATATGTTTGAAAAAATTATTTGCTAAACTTAAGTCTTATTGAAATACAAATATTTTGGAAGATAATTTTTTATTTATTGACCGCATTTGCATGAAGTACCGCAACCGCAATTGCCAGTTTGGCTTTGGGAAGAGCATTGGCAACCAGTTCCGCAGGGGCACTTGCAAGTGCAATTGCCAGTTTGGTTTTGGGAAGTGCATTGGCAACCTAATTTGATTAGTAGAGCAAAAAATTATTAAATATAAATATTTTTTTTTTAAATATTATAAAACTTACCATTTCCACAGGGGCAAGGCATTTTGTTTAGTAGATAGTTTGGTTTTTATTAATTATTAAAGAAAAAATGTTGTTTAAGCAACTCTAATTGTTGACTGATGATTTTGTTACGAGTGTATGTGATTTTATAGTTATGATGATTTTTGTTACACATCGGTCTTAACACTGATATTTTGTAATAGATTTTTAAAAATTTTATGCTAGGATAGTGAGGAGTGCATTTATCATGCACACCACACCATACTGCATAAAGTAGCATTACAATGTGCACGAACCCGTTAAAAGTATGTTAATGTGGGGCCGTGCGCAATCGCTGTTGTAAATTTAAGGGCTGTAAGATTATCGAAATTCGTATTGATTTTAATCGCTATTAATCAATATCTTAGTAGGGAAACTTTTTCATAGGAAAACCTTTTTCAAGTCAAGTTTCTTTTCTTTTAAATTTTTGTTATTAAACGTGAAAAAATCGTGTGCAACGTCATAATTTGTTTTTTTATTTTTCATAAATATTTACTCTATAATTTTATAGGGGTGATAAGCAAAAACTGATAAGATTAAATGATTCGTTAAAACGAAGAAAATATTTTGCGCACTAAAATTTAGGTTTCAGCTTTTTTAAGAATTTTAAACAATTTAGTTGTCGATCAGCAGTTGTCATGGTTCTTTTCAAAGTTCTTCAAAATTAGACCCTATCACTACATGGTAACCAGCAGTGTTCTAATAACCTCATAATAACTTTTTCTCATGTCAGTTTGGTGCAGAAACCTTCCGTTTATTAAATAATCTACATGTTTGAGTACTAAATTCTCCTCCGAGTAAATATCGTGGATTAAACAACAAAAAATTTCAATTTTGTATTAATAAAAATAGTTTTTATTTATTTTTTATACCCTATGTTAAGTAGATAGGGTTGATTTGATTAATAATAATTTATAACAAAATAAAAATATTTTTTGATTTTAAAGTTGTAATTTTTTCATGTATCTATTTAACGCCAAATTAATTTTTTGATTTAATTTTGATGTAATTTTTAGATAATTAAAAAAAATAAATATTTATAGAATTTAACTAACTAAACATAAACATTCCTAGGAAATTTTCGAATATTAAAATATTTTTCATACAAATACATTTAAACGTTTGTTGTTTTGTTTTATAAGATTTTTTCTTAGGGTCTCATTTTAAAAAAAGACAAACGTTTAATCAAATTTTATGAAAAATTCAAATTTTTAAAAATTTCCAATTCAATGACGATTATTTTTAACATCGTAAATCAATGCTTTGGTTTTTTTAAGAATATTTTTACAAAAATATAACAAATACATTCAATCATTTACTACAAGACTGGGATAATTCAAAATTCAGGTTTTTGAACTGAATAATAAAAAATATGAGCCGTCTTAGAGTCGTTAGGTTTATCTATTTTAAAAAAATGTCTACTAATTTTTTATTTTAAAAGTTGAAGTAAAAATTTAATCTAAATTTAATTGAAAAATATATTAATTTCTTCTATCTACACCTGGCTTCATTTTTCAAATCCCATTCTTTAAAAATTATTAAAAAAAATTGCAAAATGACATAATAAAACACTCAAATCCTTATTTCATAAAACGTTCCTTTTTTCATACACAAAGACAGACTAATACCTTTCATCTTCGTGAGAAGAGTATATGGGCAATTTCGTATCAAGTGACCCAACAAAAAAAATAGTTTTTGACGAAATTTTCACCAAGATTAGCACTATTGGATTAGGCCAGACATAAATTTTCAGCACTATCGATCCAGAACTGTCGTACTTAGAGGGGGTCAAAGTTGGACATCAAAGAAGATCGAGTTTTGAAGTTGGGTCACTTGACAGGAAATTACCCATATATTAAATTGTCATTCCGTTTGCAATTTCTACAATATAATTTTCCGAACCCATAAAGTATATAAATTCTGGATACTTTGTTTGTCTGTCTATCTTTCTGTCAGTCTGTATGCCTTTTGAAATAAATTTTCTAAAGACCCCAGATATCTTCGGGATCCACATCTTTAATAATCTATCAGACATGCTTTCCAGAAGTTTCTTATTTAAATTCAGAAATATAGGTCCATAAATAACGGAGACAATTTCCAATTTCATAAAAAATTTAAATTTTTCAGCTAGGGTTCTATAGTTGAAACGAAAAGTCGACTTTTCGACTTTTTTCATTTAGTTAAAAGTCGACTTTTCGACTTTTTGCATTTTATGAAAAGTCGATTTTTCGACTTTTTTCATTTAATTAAAAGTCGACTTTTAGACTTTTCGACTATAAGTATTTTATAAATAGTCGACTTTTCGACTTTTTCCGACTTTTTTCGACTTTTTCCGACTTTTCGATTTTTTCGACTTTTTGACTATTTTCGAGTTTTTTCCGACTATTTTAGAGTTTTTGACTTTTTCTTCCACTTTTTTAAAATTGTCGACTATTTTTGACTTGTTTCTACAATATTCGTGTTTTCGACTTTTTTACTTTTTTGACTTTTCGACTTTTTTCGACTTTATTCGACTTTATTCGACTTATCGACTTTTTTCGATTTATCGACTTTCAGACTTTTCGACTTTTATTAACAAAGTCGACTTTTCGACTTTTTTCACAGACGATAGTCGATTTATCGACTTTTTTGGAACAAAATAGTCGACTTCGACTTTTCGAATTTTTTCGACAAAAAGTCGATTGTTCGATTATTCGAAAGTCGATTTATAGAACCCTTTTTTCAGCATACTTTGACAAAAAGTAAGAAGAACAACAAGCAGCTTCATATGGTGAATGTTGTTCTAGTAGGACCAACATGTTACGTATGAAGTAATTACACTGGTTTCCCGGTTTAACGAATACTCGGTTTAGCGAATTCGCGATTTTACGAACGGGCAAATTGTGTACATTGAGTACCTTATATTACGAATGAATGATTAAATTTTGTACTCGATATAACGAATTTCTATAAAAATTAATAAGGAGAGATCACTAAACTTCATTATTAACCAAAAGTAATAACATATTAAGATTTTATATAAGTTCAGTACCCAATTCAATGGGTACAAAATATAAAATACAAAAATCCTGGAATAGAAATTTAAAAAATTTAAAAAATTTTTTTCGGAAATATAAATAAAATTTGTTAAATAGACATAAATTTTAATATAAAATTCTTTATTTAAGGGAATATTATGATTATTTTACTTTTGTTTTGATTCTAAATTTATTAAAAAGTAAGGAAATTGTCAAAAACTTTGTGTACATTCAAAAAGATTTAAAAAATTGACTTCCTACCTTCCATTACCCTATTTTTTACCATTAAATCATAGAAAAGTTGTTATTCGGTTTAACGAATTTTTCGTTTTTACGAATGGGCCTGACATTATATCTTTCGTTAAACCGGGAAACCACTGTATTATGTTTTTATTGTTTTGTTATAAAAAATTAAATTAAAAAATAATTTTAAAAATATTGAAATGCCTATGTACTTATGTATTAAAAAATTGAATTAGTTTTTTAAGTATTACATTTTTTTTAAAAACACCACTCTTGTGAAATGTTATACTCTACACCACCATAGTGGCGAGTGTATTATACGTTTGTGCTGATGTTTGTAAAGCACAACGCTGGCTGGCTGCCCATGTAAATCTTGTGCGCAAGCTACATGCCACAATTTTCAAGATATTTTGATAAAATTTTGAACCAAACGTGTTTTCGGCATGATGCATATTGAAAATGGTTGAAATCGGTTCATTATTTCACCTAGCTCCCATACAACCTGACCTTCCGATTTGGTTTTTTTTAACTCATAACTACGTCAAATATACTACTATCTCTCCAACAATAAATTGCTTAAATACATCGGAATTAAGGTAAAATTCAACATAAAAGATTCTTTATGAAAAATAAATAATTTTTGAAATATACTCATGGTGTAGGGTATCATATAGTCGGCCATGGCCGACAATACTTTCCTACTTGTTTTTAATATACATTAGTGCATTTCGACGCATTTTCATATGCATTTCATATTTTAAGGTGTCCAATAGATATATTTTTAAATAAGACTATTAAATTATTTTTTTATTGTTTTTATTTACGTGTTTTATTTGCCAAAAAATTTGGCTAAATTAAAGATTTTTTTGTTAAATTAATTTAATACATTTGATATGTTTGAAAAAATTTTTTGGTAAACTTAAGTCTTATTGAAATACAAATAGGTTGGAAGATAATTTTTTATTTATTGACCGCATTTGCATGAAGTACCGCAACCGCAATTGCCAGTTTGGCTTTGGGAAGAGCATTGGCAACCAGTTCCGCAGGGGCACTTGCAAGTGCAATTGCCAGTTTGGTTTTGGGAAGTGCATTGGCAACCTAATTTGATTAGTAGAGCAAAAAATTATTAAATATAAATATTTTTTTTTTTTTAACAAAATATTATAAAACTTACCATTTCCACAGGGGCAAGGCATTTTGTTTAGTAGATTGTTTTTTTATTAATTTTTAAAGAAAAAATGTTGTTTAAGCAACTCTAATTGTTGACTGATGATTTTGTTACGAGTGTATGTGATTTTATAGTTATGATGATTTTTGTTAAACATTGGTCTTTACACTGATATTTTGTAATAGATTTTTAAAAATTTTATGCTAGGATAGTGAGGAGTGCATTTATCATGCACACCACACCATACTGCATAAAGTAGCATTACAATGTGCACGAACCCGTTAAAAGTATGTTAATGTGGGGCCGTGCGCAATCGCTGTTGTAAATTTAAGGGCAGTAAGGTTATCGAAATTCGTATTGATTTTAATCGCTATTAATCAATATCTTAGTAGGGAAAGTTTTTCATAGTAAACCCTTTTTCAAGTCAAGTTTCTTTTCTTTTAATTTCTGTTATTAAATGTGAAAAAATCGTGTGCAACGTCATAATTTGTTTTTTTATTTTTCATAAATATTTACTCTATAATTTTATAGGGGTGATAAGCAAAAACTGATAAGATTAAATGATTCGTTAAAACGAAGAAAATATTTTGCGCATTAAAATTTAGGTTTCAGCTTTTTTTAAGAATTTTAAACAATTTAGTTGTCGATCAGCAGTTGTCATGGTTCTTTTCAAAGTTCTTCAAAATTAGACCCTATCATACATGGTAACCAGTAGTGTTCTAATAACCTCATAATAACTTTTTCTCATATCAGTTTGGTGCAGAAACCTTCCATGGCAAATAGATTTTTTGAAACCTTTCGGAAACAAATTTACATGAATTGTTTATAAAATAATTTACATATTTGAGTACTAAATTCTCCTCCGAATAAACATCGGGGATTAAACAACACAAAATTTAAATTTTTTATTAATAAAAATTGTTTTTATTTATTTTTTATACTCTATGTTAAGTAGATAGGGTTGATTTGAT